AAAGGCTTGGCTATCTAGTTTCCACTGAAGTATCAGGTTGTAGTGATTTGATGTAATAATTTCTTCACTACTTTGTAGATTCACCTACATTTCGATCAGTGCAGTGATGTGTAGTGCATACTGTGAGAAAGTTGCATAGTTCTTCTGTTCTACTTTCTTCTATTGGTTCTTATATCAACATCAGATTCAGAATTATTAAATTAAACTGCATTTTTCATTATTTTGTAATCTTGATTACATCTGAAATCCATTACCCTACATGTAATCAGAGGAAGGTATGAAGGAATCCTTTATTTATATCCTAGCGAGCTCCAGTTTTCTTGATAGATGGAAAAGAAAAGCTTTCACCATGATCATTCCAGCCAATCAGAAAAGTATCACTATTATTACCATGATAAAGGAGAAAGTAAATCTTGTTTCCTCTACACCTGAACAGAAGGTGTGTGCAACACAGTCTTTATAATTTCAACTAACAATTTGGTAGATGATTTTACATGATAACGCATAATTACATTTATTTTTGAACAAATGTAACTATAGTTTATAGTATGGTAATGTAATTCATTATTCAGTCCTAATCATCTTCCTACAGAGTGTATTTCCTACTTCTATCCAATATCCACAGAGTCAAAAGTCTCTTACATCATTCAAAGGATCTGTCTTCCTCTTAACCTCCAATGATGACATCAGTATAATGGATTTCCTTCATTTTCAATAGATGTTGTGTGTCCAAAGTATCTTATCCTGGCATCAATTGTCGTTGCGCGATAAGAAAACCTATTAGTGGCCTTCAAGAAATATAAATATCCTCTTGACATCACAATATTTCAATGTCCCTTATCTGTCTCTAACATCTTCTGTTAGACATCAGTCGATGTTAGACTTTAATCCAACATCCAATAGCTAAGAAATTTTTGTTTTCCTTTGATATTATTTTCTAACAACCTGTGATAAGACCCTCTTTTCCTTTGGACATCCACATGACATCCATAGGTCCAGACATCACAATATTCTAGTGTCCCTAATCCATCTTGAACATTTTCACTTAGACTTCACTCAACATTAGACTTTAATCCAACATCCAATAGCTAAGAAATTTTTGTTTTCCTTTGATATTATTTTCTAACAACCTGTGATAAGACCCTCTTTTCCTTTGGACATCCACGTGACATCCATAGATCCAGACATATATAGACCTACAAAATAAATCATCTCCGGTCCGCCAATGCCCACTCCAATTTCCCAGGAAGATTCACGCGGAAAACTCTGTAAATCGGTAACGAGATATCCGGCGGCGTTTCGCAAACGCAATTTTCTGGACGCAGTAGCGCCGTATTCCCGCACCACTTGGCATTCAGCCCGTGAAAATAAACGCATCTTGACCGAAGCGGACCCTTCGACATTCCAATCCCGATGAACTTTCAGCTATACCTGACCAGCAGCCGGTCTGGATCCATCGGGGGGAATCAAACCCGACGTTTTCGTCTAATTCTAACCTCCCCTATCGTTGTTGAGACTGCAAACTATTATTAGAGACATCCTGAACCCCCGAAGACTCCATTCATCTAACCTCTAATTTAATGTTCCAGGATATCAGACCTCAGATTCGTCTGAAAATCTTGACTCCTTTAAATCAGATATCTCTTGGATTCCGGTACCACCCTGTAATTTCGTCTTTTGAGGTTAAACGCGAAAAGGGAATGGGTACACCATAGAAGCTACCCAAGATTGCTGCAATGTCATTTCCAGTAGTTTTCATTGTGTGCCCTTGTTTAATAGGAGATTATAGATAAGGGATATTGCTTGTAGAAATAATAACCTCCACGAATTAGTGTTCGCAGATCTCGATCGGAGCACGCTATTCCGTGGATCATTGTGGTCAGTTTTTTAAAATTGATTTTAAATGAATTTTTCCAGTAAATCTAAACATGTGAAAATTTATGTCGTCACTGACAAAAAATAGACCCTGAAATTTCGACTTTCGAGGTTATATCCGAAAAAGGGACAGGTATAACGGAGAGCTTCCCCGGATTACTGCAATGCCATTTTCATCAGTTTCACTGTTCACTATCCTCTAAATGCCCTTGTTTAATGTGAAATTGTAGATAAGGGATATTGCTTCCAGAAAGTATAACCTCCACGAATTAGTGTTTGCAGGCGATCTTGATCGGAGTACGCCATCCCAATGAACATTATTATTAGTTTCTAATTGATTTTAAGTGGTGCTATAATTACCATCAAGTAGTTTATAATATTAATTATAATATATTTCATAATATATTATAATTCTAATTATATATTCTAAAATATATGTATTATAATTATTATATTATACCATGTCATTGATATAACAATATATCAATGTAATATTAATGTTTTCATTATTACTATATGTCATTGCATTTTATTACAATTACAATTGAAATAAATGAATTTAAATTAAAATCTCCTTTTATATCAAAGCTCCGTCCATTCCTTAAAAGGTGTGTTGTTTAAGCAGAAACGGAAGTTTTTCCTTTGCCGAGGATTTAATTTACCGCGCGACCGGAAACAACGGGCGGATCCTTCAGGAGATTTTTCGTACGGACGGGACGCCGGTCTACGGCCGTATAACAACTTAATCGGCTTACAAGCGAGGCTTTAATAACTTCTACACGGGATATTAAACGAGAATCGGCGAACTTGTTCCAGCCGGTGTTATTCGCTCGAGGATTGTTTGGCTTCGTGTAAATCTGTTTTTCCCTCGAAAGAAACACGGTTTCCCTTCGAAATTCGACGGGACAATAGCCCAGAGAAAATTGCAGTGGATGCAACATCGTGGATGAAAATTGTCGCTAAACCTTACTAAGTGTGTATTTTATTAAACAGAGCAATGTATTGCCTTCAATGCATAATTTGTTGCTCTAATATAGTTGGTTTGTGACTGTTAAAAACAAGACGACAGAATGGAAATTTTTAAATTATTATATACTATACTTTGTTATTAACAGAAAATTTTGTATTTGTTGAAAATATAAAATATATTATATCTACATCTAATTATAAATGAAATATAAAATGTAATATATAAGAATATGAATATTTAATTTTTTCTATTACTAGAAAAATTTACAGTAGCATGAGTAGAACTACCAAATACTAGAGTAGAACTGCTAAAAGTAGTTTTAGAACATTTGTATAGTCGAAAATTATAATTCTATTAATAGAAAATTATCTGTGGAAATGATTAGCGCGTACTATTGTTCTGATAATTACACTGTTCTCAGATTACTTCAAGTAAATTGCAGTGTACGACGAGTCAAGATAATACGTATGAAAGAATTAATTAGAAGACAAATGATTTTACATCTAGCTTGATGTACCCAGTGATTGATGAAACACATTTTACAGCCATTGTGTAATACTAAGATATATATCTTGTATCTCATAAGACATGTGTAACTGTGCTTTGTCACAAATAGTGTCCTCGACTTATTAGAATTTACTTTAATGAAATAGAATTTGTCAAAGTCCTTATATAGTGTGGTTTAAAGTTTCATTATATCAGTAAGTACATTGTGTGCCAGTTTGATAATAGTAACTGGATCAGTGCTGAATAGAAAAGAATTTTTAAGGGTCAAGGGAATTGTTTTTTTTTTTTAGAAAATAAACACAGTTTTATAACAGGTGTCAGTTCTTTTCAGTAAATTTCCCTCAGAGGTCCAACCAGGGAATTATTGATCTCTACAGTGCTTATATAACCTGACCTGTGTTTTTCGTTCACTTTTGCCCGCACTGGGAAACGTTTCTCATTCGCTAGACACACGTCGTTGATATTTCAGTTCTGTTGCATGTGCATCCTGGGGGAAGTTTGATTGCTTCCTGATCATATGTCGAAGTAATAGTGCATCGGTCAACGCAGACGCAATCCGAAATATAGTTGGAGATAGAAAATAATAAAATTATAAACAAGTTCGTATAACTACATAGGAAACGATAATTTTGGTTATGTTCATTTGGAGTCCTATTTTTATGAAGTATTACAATGAATAATTTGCTATTCCCCCCCGAAAAATATTCATAAGTTTAGTCTGAAGTATTTTTATCATAGCATCGAGATCTTCGGTGCACTGGGGAATAAAAGTTACTTGATAGAAGGAATTTCAGCTTAAAAAAATATATGGGTACAAAGTATTGTATAATATAATGAAATAACGTAAACACAACCTTTCATATTGTACCACCAATCATAACTACTCTAAAGATGTAAGGATGTTTTCTCCACACCTATTTAAATCCACAATCATCCAATATATTAAATCAGAAATATAGCAGGGTCTACCAGTACCAGAGATATTTATAAGAATATTAAACACACAGATATGTATTGCAACAATGTTATACAGTGAAAGATTTTAGAGACAAACTTTTCTGCAGTAATCCCTCTATTACCGTTATTTTCTTATTTGGATCTTTCGTACTCAAGGTCACGCGAAGATCTTGAAAATGTAGTCGCATTTTAAAAAAAATATCAAAGACCTTAAAATTTCGAAAAATATGACTGATTTATACTTATAATAATAATAATCCAAATTTAAAAAAAAATTTTTTTTTTAGGGAAGTTCCTTTCCTTAGAATATAAGTACAATACAGAACAGTATAAGTATACAGACTCGTCTCGATTATCGTCTGGTTTGTCCTACACGATTATTGTCCAGGCGTACTTCCCACCACTGAAGGGGTGGGGTGGAATCTGTCACTTTGTTGTCCCTCCACTTTTGTTGCTGAGGTTCAGACTTCGGGCAAAAAACAAATTTACGAGGGTCTGAAGCATTTCTCCCTACAAGATTATTGTCCCGGCGTTGACCCGAGTTCGGGACGATAATCGAGAGAAGTCTGTAGTACGAAATATTGTTCTGAACAACTACTTTTTTTAAGTATATATTGTGAAAAAAAAAAAACCAAAATCTCGATCCTGAAAAATGTCAGCGAATTAATCGAACTCATTAATCGATTTCCAGAAGCTGCTTCCACAGACGTGGCTGGAAGCAAGACCAGCAGCGAATCGGCCGAGGTGTTTCGCGCGTCGAGGTTCTCACCGTCGACGACGTCGACGCTGAGCACGATCGCGACGACGACAACAGCGTCGTCCCCATCGTGCGTCGACGCAAGAATGGTCGCATCCACGCATAACCTAGACGATCTCGGCGTGAGTCACCCGGCGAGCGCCAACGGCGATCGTCAGCAGCAACAGGAGAAGCACGGGCACACGTACAGATCCGCCCAGACCGCCCAGGACAAGCGGAGCCGGTTGAGCAACGTGATAAACAATCTGCGAAAAAAGGTACCGGACTCGAGGACCGGGGACTCCCCCAGAAAAGAGGAGGACGACAGGAATAGCGTCGAGAGGAACCTGGAGACACTGGAGAAGTATGTGATGACGGTGCTGAACGGGGTGATCAAGGACGAGGAGGAGGACGGCAAAGAGGTCGGGAAAAAGGAATGTGAAAAAGGCACAGAGCCGGAGAAATTGCCCGAGGACCAGGAGGACGAAGACTCGAAAGGTCCAGGCGCGAAATTCGAGCCTTCGAAGCCAAACGAAAGCAGGACAGAGACTGCTGTCTTCCTTTTAGGGAAGCCCGAGAACGTGGAAAGTGGCGCCGCGGGCGAGGAGCCTTGCTTGGAGTATATGAAATTGGGCGAGAAAGACGTGACCTCGCAGCAGAGTGAGGATTCAAGCTGTTCGGAGGTGAGAAGTAGTCAGAAAAAATTTCCCGACGAAGAGGTGAAACCCTGTCAAGCTGAAACCAATGATGATAACGTGTCTAAGAGTGGCAAGTGTTCTTCCAAGGAAGTGGAGGACGTTGAGACAGCAAAGGAGAGCTTCGATGAGGAGAAGAAGGAGAACCGTTCGTTAGGGACGATCATCATGGAGAGGCTGAGCGATCATCAGTCGGATGAGAAGATAAGCAATGATTTCACCAAGGAGGATCCTAAGGAATTTGTGTCTGAGAACGTGGAGCTGAGGAACGTTTGCAGGGATCTTTTAAATGATCTTCTGAACGGCATCAATCAGCTGATCGATGAGAACAGTCAAGAGAAAGAGGAGATGACCCTGGAGAACTCTCAGGAGGACTCCAGGAATACCAGGAACCAAGACCTCTCTATGACAAGTCTTCATTGTAGTTTACCCTTGGATAAGGTGGCCTCGGTGCTTCAGAATTGCCAGACAAATGACTTGGCAGCTCCCCAGTCACCATCATCCCCTTCATCCTCATCCTCCTCCTCCTCCTCGTCACAGGGAGCCAAGTCTCCCATCAAACCCCCATCCCCCACAGTCAGGCATCTGTGTCTCTATTGCGACAGAAAGTTTCTCTCCATATCTCTGAGGCAAAGACACACCGAAAGGGTCCACCAGCAGGGTGGCGGCAGAAGATCGGAAAGAAACTCGCGGAAACCTTCCCAGAACTGCCAGTACTGCTCGGACAAGTGCGCCGAGAGTCTAGATGGACTGTTCCAGCACATGGTGGGCAGCCACGGCGACAAGTACCATGCTTGTGTTCAGTGTTCCACGAGGTACCCCACCAGGGAAGCTCTGGTCTGCCACATGACCGAGAACCATGGGGTGAACGTGGAGAGGAACCTTCAGGTAAGACAAAGTTCTAGACCAGATTAACCCCTGGACAGACCATATACTATATCGAATTCGTTTGCATGAATTTTACATTTCTCTGATTTTCTTTCCCAGGAAAAAATGAAGGAATCATCCACGCCCAGCAAGGACCTAGTTAACCCATGTGCCAGGGAGAAGCCAGAACCTCCAAGTCCCAAAGAAAGAAGGCCAGATGAGCCTGACCACGAGCACAGAACAGAGCCTATCCTATTGAAGCCAGTGGTCTCGGGGAAGGAAACGTTCAGCAACCCAGGCAGTCCAGAATTCGATAGTTCCTTCTACAGCAGTGTCAGCTGCAACATCAGGGAGAACCTACTTCACCATCTGGACGGTAAACTTCAGAGCTCCACGTCCGCCCTAACCTCAACGGCCACGTCCATAATGGACTCGAAGCTTCAGCAGCAACCTCAACAACAACAGTCCTTCTACGAGCACAACGTCAGCCAGATTCAGCTCCCCATCGACATCTCCTTAACCGCTGCCACCCCTGTCTACTCCAAGGAGTACACTAACGAGGATTATGAGAACTCCAGTGAATACGCCCAGAAGCCCGGGAAAAGCAACTGGTCCCATCCAAGACGGGTGTCCTTCGAGAAGTACAATTTTCCCAGAAAGTACGACGGCAAGGAACAATGGACGTGCTCCATAAAAGACCTCAGCAAGTTCGACATCTCCACCCAGCTGACCCTGAGGAAGAAGCAACAGTTGCTGAAGGAACGGATCACTCTGAACAGGATACAGCAGACTGCACTTCACAGCCCGTCAGAGACCACGAACATCGACCAGACCGAGATCCTTAGTTTAAGGAAGTTGGAGGACCTGGAGGAATTAACAGGGGACAGGAAAGTCCCAGAAATCGACCAGGTGTCGTCCCGTTGCGACGTTAAATCGAAGGAGCACAAGATGGACGTGCGGGAGGCGAAAACATCCCACTTGCTCACCGAGTTCACCCCGGAATTCGGCAATTTCCTGAGACTCAGGAAGTGGGACGAGAAAACGACCAGCGAAGAGGCGAAGAAGCAGGAACGTGTCTACGCCGAGCTGACCGGGGAATGGTCCAGACCACGGATCTACATCTGTGGCGCCTGCGCTGCCAAACACGTGAGTTTCTTGAAATTTATGAAACGTTTGTTAACCATTTATAACCTAGCTTTGTTTTGGTGACAGAAAACGAAAATTATATAACCTCAAAATAGCAAACGTTAACCTTTGGATGTGAATTAATAATTAATTTACAATTTTTAAGAATTTTCTTTTAATTTGTTATGTATTGAAATCCTTGATTGTGAAATGGTGGTTCAATAATGAGATGCTATGCCACCTTGTGGTGAAAACACGAAGTAAAATTTTTAATTCAGATATAGGATGAATGTCCCAATTATTACCAATGTCTCTAATACCTGCCAATTCATTTATTTTACTTAATAAAAACGTAACATGGAAAGAATTGTGGAGAAGAATCTGGGATTGCTCGAAGATTTTAATTAATTCGTCATACTTAATGTATAAAACAATTGTTTTAGGATACTAAATAATATATTCTAAACTCGGACGATTTTTAGATTAAACAACACATAAAATGATTGAATGAAGTTACCTTAAAATCTTAAGGTACCAATAATTGGGACATCTACCCTATGAGTGTATGACTTCAATTACATGGTGGTATAAATGGTTAATTTGTGAAATATGGTAGAAGAACGAGAAAATTTCAGTTCAACTTGAAATTAATATCTAAAATTAGTATTCTACAGGCTGTGAATTAATGTTGAAATTGGTCAAAAACGTTTGTTAATGTTAAATAAAATTACGAGAATACCCTTGAATAAAAGTCAGTGCAAAATAATCAATAGCAAGTAATCCAGACTGATGGAATATGAGGTGATTTAACAGTATTAAAATTATCTAATATCGTATTGGTCTGTCAAACTGTAATTTTAATACTCTGAATGTACTGAATATATTTCAACTGTTTTATGAATACTTTATCGTCTCCTCTACATATTCGAATGGTTTTTTAATTCCCGAGTGACATAGAAGAGCTTAATCAATAATGAAACAGAGTAATTAATTCAAATCGAGTAATCACGCTTATTGCATGTAGACGTTACATTAATTTGTAACAGAGAGCAGTGATCAATCGAGATTCATTTGATGCCAACTAATTGTCAATCAATATCAAGGGACGTCCTTTCACTGGTCACGATTTCGATCTATACTTGCCAATCAATTGGTCGATTAATTAACTAATCGTTTGTAAATGTCAGTAGCGTCGAAAGAGGTATCAGCTATCTTAAATGAATCTCTGGAATACGTTTCCAGTCCAGACTTATCGATTCAAGTGCATAATATCAAGACAATTATCAATCAACTATTGTTTAATTTTTTCCTTTCAAATTATTTCCAAATGTGTAATTTCAGTTACACTTACGAACTAAAGAAGTATTCATATTAATGATGAAATAAATAATCAAATACTGTACATTAATAGTATTCCAATTCCAGCAAAATGTAACTTTCTTATTCTAGACAAGAGATCATGAGGGACTGCAATGCCTATGGAGATACTGGACAATTTATACTCAACCGTTATGCTTTGTATCTCTCTGATGTCAAAGAGCATCTAGTTCCTTGATAAAATATCTAGTTCATGCTGTCAGCAACTACCGGGAGTATACTTTTACTCCTGAAATGTAACAAATGTTGCCTATAAATCTCACTCTGACTTACTTTCTCAGTTTCGTTCAGCATGTCCAAACTGTTGGTCAATATTAATAATACCTAATAATTCATTGAAAATTAATTATAAATCTTAGCATGGTTCCCAATAAACAGTCTGTTACTTCAACCGATCCTTTACTGTGTAAAGATTTTTATAGATCAAAAATACTATGAAAAATTGATTTTAGTTACAATATGATACACAATCTGCTAGGATTAATCGAATTTTCTTACCCTCTGATTCCAGGTCACCTTGAGGGAGATGGAGGACCACAAAGCTTCCACTCATCCGAATGTCTGGTGCTCGCACTTCGAGTTCTCCGGTGACCAAAGGGAGCTCTACAAGCACCTGTTCCTGCCAGGGAAGGACGATCCCACTGCAAAGGCGAAAGCTGCCATTTTAGTCGAGAAGGTCTGCACCAAGTGCTCCAGAAACTGTAATACCTTACCAGAGCTGCACAGGCACATGCTGGAATGTGGCGGTGACCAGGCATGGTTGCTGGGCCTGTTCGGTAATGGAAAGAAGAAGTGCAAGTGGAGACCATTCGGCAGTCGCAGCAGAAGGAGAAGGCAGCGAGGAATGAAGAGGAACATCCAGAACTCCCAGACACCTAGGATGACCACCCCAAAGGAGAAGCAACCGACTGGCCCAAGAGTTAGACCCAGTGACCGTAAGTCCTTTTCTACAGCTTATGTTTTCTGCAACAATAGTTCACGTTCAGGGAGACTCTTCTATTAATTCAAATGGAATCAAGCACAGGAATCCAAAAATGTTGTATTATTGAAACTAGTTAAACATATAATTGCCCGATACACAAGAAAGATTATTTCTTTCATTTATAAATTCTTTTCACCCAGTTTGTTCAAGTTGAGATCACTTTTTAAGGTATACAAATAAAGATTAGTGGAGATTCAAAAGTTTTACTTGCTTCGCTTGTTCTTTATGGAACCAGAGTGTCAAATAAGAGCCAAATTTAAGTAGGGTTACATAAGATTTTATCTTTGCTTAAATAAAGTTGCATGTAATTCTGAAGTATACAGTGTGATTGAAAGTGAGCAAATATCCTTTCACCCTTGTTCGAATTCTCAGGGGGTATTAAGAAAACATTAATTATGTGATTTCATGTGTCAAGAGAAAGTCTATGCCCTCTTGTATCGTTGAGTTTGTTGAGCCATGTCAGATGAGCGTTTAATTACTGGACTAATTAAAACTTTATTTCATTTAGTTGAATCACTTATCTAATAACTTCCTTTTAGCCATGCAATAATTACATCGGCCGCTTATGGCATAACTTCGAACTGATTAATCGTATCCTGATTAATATTAATATCTCGTTGTAGTTGGTAAGCACATTTTAAGAAACAGTATTCCCCCTTAACCAGTTTCTCAAAATCAAGTTATATTTTATATAATTAAATAATTACTCTTAGACAGTGAAACATTAAATGACCCACAGAATTTAAAGTGTGAGATTGTATAATTTATGATACATATTTTAAATCAATCCTAGTTAAATAAAATTGATTGTTTAGTTTCTGTCTTAGCAGAGTCTTATATGACTTTGCAAACTATTGAAATGAGTATCCAAATTATTTCACAGGAAATTTAAAAGCAGAAGACATGTATTTTTCACAGGTGAAAAAATTGCTTAACTGCTACTTTAGAATATTCTAATGACATCAATATTATTATTAATATTAAGGAGTATATATAATTATTAATACTATTAGCAAGATACTTGCTTTATAAATTGTTACTTACAATCACACTACTCTTTCATATGACATATAATTACAAGGATGGTAGAGTCCTTTTTGATCACCTTGTATTTAATACTAGTGAAGTCTGTATCCGTGCTTAAATAATTCATGATTGTATGTTGTTTTGTTATGCAGGTGAGAGTATTCAGAAAATGTTGGCAAACTTACCCCCCAAAAGGGCCACCAGAAAAGTGATGCAGGACAGTGCACTGAGAACACAGGGTAGACTCCGCAATGTAAGTTATAAACATGTAAACAATTCTACTACCTCTATCTCACCTAATACAATTTTCCTTCTAAGTGTTGCTTAACATTAACATTAAATTGTACATACTACCATCTAAATGCTACTCAACCGTTTTAGTCCCGTGTGTCAATTCGCGCCTATTCGGTTCACGCGCGAAGAATTCTTTGGCGCCAATTTTTAAATGGAGATGTCTCTGTTTAAAATCAATAGAAGGAGTTAGATTTCGATGTTGTTCTATTATATTCTATATTTTAACAATATAGGGACGCTTTATGCCGGAAGCAAGAGGGTTAACACAAAGTAGTGTTATTATTTAATTACTGATAAACACTTCGAAATATTGGCACGGTTAAATAACACAAGAAGAACATAGAAAAATTTGAAATAGTTAGTGAATCTTTCCAATATAAGAGGCTCTACATTTATTATAAGATGAATTAGACTGCTCCAATTGTAACCTAATGCATTTTGGACTACATTGAACCAAACTTGGTGCCAGATACTTAATATCATTTAACAAAATGAAACTTCATTGATTAAACTGTGTAAATTTACCTATCACATTTATTAAAATAGGTGGTTCAAATTAGTTCGAATAGCGACCAAAGAAATTTCTGCTATAATTATAAGAAAAATGCCACCCCAAGGTAGTGCAAAGCATGCAGATTTTGAGATTCGAGAAGTTAATTAAACAAACGTTAAACAAAATTAAAAATTACAAAAACGTGGCCTTAAAATAAATTTTCATTAAAACATTTTTCCGAAATGGTCTATAAAGTGGATATACAATTCATCAAATATAATTGGGGAAAAAAAATATCAGTGACACATGGAGAGTTCATTGACCAATCCTGGTTAGCGAGCACCAACCCAACCCTATCGACTAGTGATGAATATACGTTTGAATTGTATCGATATTTTTTTAAAAAAATATTCGATTTGAAAAGTGTCGATATTGTATCGCCCATCACTATTATGGAAAAGATCGATGCAAAATAATCGATATTTAAATTGAAAAATATCGATACCGTATCGTCCATCGCTATTATGGACTAACAAACCAGAGAAAGCGATTGCAGAGGCTCCCGTCTAACGCCAAGAAATTGGCGGGAAAACGTGTTAACCTAAAACAGAGTTCAACGGGCGGTGCGGTCGTGTCCAGTTTTGAAATTAGGTGAACGAGAACAGGGCCGAAGTTAGCCGATGACCCGAATCCTGTTCGTTCGCGGTGAAAAAAGATGAAACTCGATAATGATAAGGCAATAACGCGGGGACCGGCTTCGGCTGGACGACACGGATATAAGTGGAGTATTGATTACCCAACACGCCCGTCCGCACGTGCACACACACACACACACACACACACTAAAGAGACCACTATACGCCAGACGAACACACTGCTATTGGATATGTCGTGTGTGGTTACACAGACAGGATGATTTTCTTCCTGTTTCTTGTCGATGACGTCCACCTTTCCCCTCCCCCATATTTTGCTAAGAAAACTGGCACGGTTACCCCCTCGTTGGACACTCCCCTGAGCCCTTTGCGGAAATCTCATATTGGAAGACAACTGGTCTGGATTGATTCGACACGAGTCCGTCGGATGCAGCCTTGGGGTTGAATTAATCTGGAAAGCAAACCAATGATATGGCACAGAAGGACTTTGGGAATGGGTGAAATGGAGATTGGATTTGGAAGATGACCCTGGGGGGGGGTGAGGAGTGGAGGGGGAGTTACTGATGCTGGCCTTGACATTTAAGGGTGGTTGTTCTTGGGGTATTCCGGACTTTACTGAGGAATATGATTCATGCTGGGAAAATTTAAGGGTTGTGGGAATTTGATAGCGTCCTTGGGATTTGAAGGTTGTTATTTCACTGGAGGAAGATGGAGCAGTTGCTAAAAATAGTTGTAAAATATGGGCGTGATTATTTTGAAGACACTGCTAGGGTTTGAATGGATTCGAAATGAAGCTGCAGGGGTCCTTATCATTTTTATGAAGTTAAGCACACCTCCTCAAACCGAGTGACTAATAAAAATAATTCTATAACTTGAAGATATTTCTTATTCTGGAATTTTTACAATTTCTTTTTAATAGTTCAGCCCTTTTCAAACACTGACGATTGCTTATTAAAATGAAGCTTTATGTAAGTATTCGCGGCTTAATCCCTAATTCGGACCACCTTCATTTGTAGGATTTGAAACAGCGATTCAAAATGTATTTTCAAATCTAAACACTGGGATGATAGTGTGCCCAAGGGTAATGGTCCTAATAATTAGCGATTTAGTCCAATTTGAAACTGAAGCGTTAAATTGTCTGAAGATTTAATATAATATTTCAGCGACTTATGGTGTTATTACCACGCTACTGCTTTGAAGCTACCTATCTACTCATTCACCAAAACACACACACACACACAGAGTACCACGAAGGCTTTACCTATCTGTACAGGTACAAACCAGGTCGAGACCACGTATGGTCGGCGATATTTCCACCGCGTCGCGAATGTCCCGTAACAAAGCGGCCCTGAGGAACAAGCTGCTGAAGAACGCGAAGTCGATACAGCGGAATCGTTGCCGGATCGACAACATATCAGCGGTTATCGAGAGCGTGGTGAGAAACTACAACGTCGAGGAGAAGAGGACGTCCGTCGAGGTCGCGAAGGACGGTGTAGAAAGTGTGGACGTTGAAAAGGATGCCAAAGAGACGAAGGAGGAGGACACGAAAGGGGAGACGAACACGGTTATCAGGGGGAAAATTTCGAGGGGACCGAGGATTCTCGGGAAGAAGAGAAACATTAAGATAAAAGAAGGGATCAAGGTTGTTAACCAGCCCAAGAAGCCCGGTGGCATGAAAGGTAGGCCGAGAAGTGCACTGAAGAATCCTTCAGAGGCGAAGGTAGATGCGCCAAACGAGCCTGCAAAGACTCCAAAAAGCGTAAAAGTCGTGGGAAAAGTTACCGAGAAGGCGACAGAGGTGGAGGCTAATTCTCCAGAATCGAAATCGCCCCATCCACCGACCAAGATTAAAGTATCCACCCAGACCACCCCAAAGAAGAAGAGGCCAGTGGATCCTGTGGCTTCTCTGAACGCCTCCATCAAAGCCAAGTCGCAGCTCAGGAGCCAGGATGGAAAGTTCGCTAGGAATCCTAATAAAAGTCCCCAGAAGTCACCGGAGGTTCGACCCCCGAGTCGCCAAGTGGTCAAGGGGAAGGGCAACAAGGCTAGTCCAGACACATCGGTCACCAGATCCAAGCTGAGGACAACGCCTAAAAGTAAAACCGGCGATCAGTTGCCCAAGAGGATCACCAGATTGTCTTCAGACAGTGACAAGATGCCAACACTGGAGCCTGCCGTCCAGATTGCCTCCAACAACGAAGAGGATGTCGAGGCCTCAGCCAACGATCTACCGATCCTGTCGCCAGCTAATCCATCGTCGAGTGCAGAGAAAGTGTTGCGTGGCAAGAGTATGAACAGCAAGAACCTGGACGACAAGGAGAACCCTAAAAAAGGAGATCAGGTTGAGACAGTGGCAGAAAAGAAGGATTCGACCAGAGACCCACCTGAAGATAAGGATCTGAAGCAGACCAAAGTTAGGAGACAGAAGGTCGATGCTAAGAATTTAGAGAAGAGCCTGGAGAACGTTAGCAAGGATGAAAGTCTGAAGGAAAAGGGGAAAGGAGTCGCGAAAGAGAAGTTCAAAAGGAAAAGTGCACCAGGCAGAATTGTGGAAGAGAAGAAGGTAAGCGCAGCGAAGACCCCAGAGGAGACAACTCCAAAGAAGGACTCGAAGCAGAAAGCATTGGAAACTCGAAGCAATTCCAGAGCTAAATTGGACAAAACTCTAGACACTGAGGATGAAATAAAAATACAGAGTGTACCATTCGAGGTGAAGAAACTAATCGGATCTGATTGCAAGGAGGATCTGCTAACCAAGTTGGTGTTGACGTCCAGGGCCACCAACTCTAAGCGTTGCCTGAGACAACCCGTGCCAAAAGCGAAAGGAGACCAAGGTAAGAGTAAAGTTCAAAAAGATTTGGAGTTCGAAAAATTCGCCCTTGACTCAGAATTAATTACAGATATGTCTGGGAAGAAGGAGAAGATTGATCGAAGAAAGTCCTTAAGGAAGACTGAAAAGAAGCTGGAAAAGGATAAAAGGGCGCCCAAGAATGATCAGACAGAGTTAGAAGAAGTGAACAAACTTAAAATCGCAGTGAATGAAGTGAAAACAGCTATTAGAGGGAGAAGGAGCAGTAGTCTGTCCAGTGAAAGTAAATCGGTGTCGTCCTCAGAGTCTCAGACCAGAACAGAAATTGAGGTGCCAGAAACTAGCGACAACGAGAACACGAGCGGTAAGAGGCAAACTAGAGGCTCGTTGTTAAATGCCAATGAAGATCAATTGGCCAAGGAAACCTCCGTGGAATTAAACGACATGTCCCTCAAGAAGAACACGTCCCTTGGAAAAAGGAGAGGTCGGATTAAATCCAACAACGACACCTCGGACAGAAAGAGCTTGGAGGTTTCTCAGGCAAGGAGCGACGAAACTGATAAAAATAGTTCCATTGAAATTATCAGTAAAGACAGTGACATAAATACCGATGACAAAGCAACGATAGAAGATGATAAGCCTGCCAAGAATGATCAAGAGGAACCGGATACTTTGGCCAAGGTCGATCAACCAAATGTTGATCCTCAGGAACACGTTGAAGTAGAAAGTGTAAATATGAACGTGAATCGTTTGCAGATAGAGACTGGCAGCTCGATGGACAGTGGCAAAGAGAACTCCCTGGAGACAGTGGTTGGTCCACAGAAACTGAAAGTTGGCAGACCAAGAAAGTCCTGGGGATCTAAACGGGAGAGGGCATCTAAGAGATCATTGAACAATGTGATCGGGATCCTTACAGAGGGCATGAATATTCCTGTGGAGTCTCAGCAGAGCGTGGTTCTGACTGTTCAGACCAGCCTGGACAATGTGAATCCCGATGGATCCCTGCAGACCAGTGGTCAACCGCCAGAAGAGGGCAGTTCCAAGTCCTTGTGCGCAGACAAAAGTGACAAAACCGAAATTGCTAATGATCCTGGCAAACTGAACGATGACCAAGGATCCTGTGTTCCAAATCCTGAAGAAAAGCAGCCAGTGCAGACACCAGTTGGTTCTGTGAAAGAATTGAATGGGGAGGTCTCGTTGGCCAAGACTCAGAATGCTAAGTCTGCCCCTAATGAGATCAAAGAACCTACCAATGACATCATTTTAGATCTGTCCAGAAGGAAGCAAAAAGGAAAAGGGTCTTTCCTGGAGAAGATCGTTTCGAAGATAGCTAAACAGAAGGATGCTTTGCTGGAGGGTGAAGTTGGTTCGCTGCTGGACACAGCGGCTGATGAATTGACCAGTATTCTGGACGAAGTTGGCCCTGGCCTTTCGGAAGCAGTGGAGAATCCAGGAGTCGGTAAGCCTGTAGCTGAGAAAAAGGTTCATGGCAAGAGACAGGAAGAGGCAGAGACAAATGTGACCGATGAAAACTGTCAGGAGTCCTTATCAACTTCTGCTGTGGGCTCCGAGGACACTAAAGCTAGTGAGAACATGGACATAGAAATACTTAATAATCTGCACAGTGATAATCAAAAAGAAGCGAAAGAGTCGACAGAGGAGAAGAATCCTTTCAGTGTGGAAACTGAATCCTCGAGGGAACCATTAGATACAAGATTTGAAACTGAATCTTTGAACAGAGAAGACAATAATTCAATGGAAATACAGAGTGTCGAAACTGAATCCTCGAGGAAACCATTAGATACAAGATTTGAAACTGAATCTTTGAACAGAGAAGACAATAATTCAATGGAAATCACGGAAACAGACGCTGAGGATCTAAAAATGATTGTTCTGGGAGAAACTAACTCTGTACCGAATGGAATTACATTACCTGAAAGTATTTCGCAGTCTATTGGGACATGCACGCCAAAGCCAGAGGAGAAGTCACCGAGGAACGATCAGGAGCCAGTGACAGAGGACACGAAGGTGAAAAGAAAATCGAAGAAACGTTCACTGGAGGGAAATTCACCAAAGAAGAACAAGAGAAAGTCTGTCGAACCAGCAGACGAACCTGAAGAGTGTGTAATCTCTGAGGAGTTGCATCTTGCTGATATCATGAAGTTGATTAACAGAACAAAGGAAGTGCCTTCTACCAAAGAAAACATCGAGAACGATCTCTTCGTTGGAAAAGTTCAGCTTGGCAAGAGGAAAACACTGAACGACGAATCTGAAACGAGAGATTTATCATTTGCTAAAGTAACTGTCGACCTGCAGAGGCTGGAAGAGTCCACTGATCCGTCGAAGAAACTCAAAACAGAAGCTGCAGGAAAGACAGAGGATGGAGGAAATAAGGTGTCAATTGGAAGGACTGAAGACCGAGTTAATGAGGAGACTTTAATGAACGTTGAACAAAATGAGACCTCGTCGTTGCAAGTAAAAGGGAAAAGAAAATCCTCTGGTGAAAAGGAACCTGAAATAGAGTCTCCAGTTAGGCGATCCTCTAAAAGGCGATCACTCGTGGAGGATAAACTGAATCAGGAGGATGAGCTGTTGTCCAAAGACGAATCGGAGACGTCTGATACAACAAGAAGAAGGTCTTCCAGGACAAAATTTAGTATTCAATCAAAAAACGAAGGTGCAATGTTTAAAGAACCTGAAGGTGACGTTACTGTTAACAATGTTCTTGTAGAAAATATTGGGGAGTCATTGACAGGCTTGCTGGCAAAGGGTGAACCTTTGGTGGAACCTACATCGCCTGTCGCAAAACAAACAAAAGTTACTAAGGAAGATTCTGGCATGCAAGATCCAGAGAGTGAAGGAACGGAGAAAGAAAACGGCAGTGAAAGTGTGCTGGAGACTGGTCTGAAAGAACCACAGAATACACCCCCAAAAGTCCCCAAGAAACGGGGTCGCAAAAAGAAGTTGTTAATTAGCGAATCCACGGTAATAAGCGGTGCTCTTGAAGAGAACAACGACTCTAAGATGGATGGACATTTTATAGAGCCACAGTCAGTTGCCGTGAATCAGGTTCCTAGCAGAAAGTCTTTAAGAGTAAGTCGACCTGCTGAAGAACTTGAGGATCAATGCAAGAATTCGGATGCTCGTTCAGATCATTTCAAAATTCCAGAAGTGACAGAGGTGCTGCAGCACACCAAGAAACGGACGTCCAAGAGAAAATCGACAACCGACGAACATTTGGACAATCAGAGCAATCTTTCTCTAGCTGAATCCGAAAGTAACGCAGATGGCTCAGAAGCGAAGGCTGTCAGTGAAAAAGGGAATCAGCTTGAGAATACATCCCAGAAGGATTTGCCTGAAGGTCGGAAACGTGCCTCTAAATCCTCCAACAGTGGCCAGGTTGGGCTGGAGAGGTCCAGCTCCTCTGGATCCATTGATCTAACTCAGACTAGCAGAACAAGGTCTTCGAAGAGGAAACAACTGTCTTCTGAGGATCTGTCGGGCCAGGAGATCCTGAATCGACGTGCAGAGAGTACAGATAACTTGTCTGAGAGCTCCTGCGTCAGTGAGTCCAGTTACTTCCGGAAGAAACGGTTCTCGAAGAAGAAGAAAGCCTCGAAAGAGCTTCCAGATGACGTGCAAACAGATACTTCGATCACTGACTCTGAATCTGCAGACACTGAGAGGAACAGTGACAGAAGGCAGAGTCTGAAGAGGCGAGCCAAGAAGAACATATCCTTCTTTGAAGACCAGTTCGACCTAGTCGACGACTTCGACATTCCCATGGACATAGAGGACTGCCTACAGCAGCAGGATATTATCAGCAACATTCCACAGGAACTGGAGACAAAATTATCCACTGCGAAGGATAAGGTTGATGATACTATAACACCCAACGTCACTATCAGTGACAAAAATGAGGAAGAAGTAGCAGCGGAGAAAGAGGAAACAGTTGTGGAACCTGAAAAACCTGCAGAGTCTAAAGAACCTGAGAAGAGTATTGAAGAGGAGGAGGAAGAGGAGGAAGAAGAGGATGAAGAAGAAGAAGACGAAGAGACAAGTGAGACTGAAAAGATAAACGTCAAAACAGATGATACTCCTCAAGTACAGGAGGACTTCCAAGCTCCCAAGAAACGTGCAGCAGGTAACTTTGTGGTAGTGCACAAGAAGACAGGCGAGATTTTGATAGTGGAAAAGAGAAAGAAACTGACGAAGGAGGCAGCCAGATTCTTCTGCGACGTCTGTGCGACCAGCTTCACCAGAAAGAGCTCACTGAAGAAACATAATCTCTCTCAGTCGCATCTGCTGCAATTAGTCAACTCCAAAAAGGATAAAGGAACCACTGATATCACCGATGAGGACTGTAACACCACCTGGAAAAGTGAAATGTCCAGTCAGAATGAAACACTCAGCGAGGATAGCAAGAATTTTACTGATGACTCAGCGAACATCCCCCAGGACTGTAGGAATGACCAGAAAGAGAGTAATTCTTGTAGTCTTGACGGCTCAGAGGACTTGGAAGCTGTTTGCACAGCTTCAATGGAGCAGGAATTATTAATTGATCCTCAAATGAAGCAACGTACCCTGGAAGATGAACTCCTGGATGAGGAGATCTGCAAGATCACTGAAAACATGAGCCACGATGAGTATGTCCTCACTGAACACACCAGTCCCATTCCAGAATGCGCCTCGACGCCTATAAAAACAGAGACTAAGAAATTAGAAGAACCAGAAAAGAAGAAGAAACACGAGAGAAAGAAGGACAAGGGGAAAAAGAAGAACCTGATCGATGAACCTTTGGATACTTCTGAGCCTGAGATACTTTCAGAATCCCCAACTCTGAACAGTTTGGATGCAAAGTCTCTGTGTTTGAACTCTTCAGAGACTTTAAATGCTGAAATTGATTTGGAACATACTGAAAGTATACATTTTCATGCAGAGACTACAAGCAATTTAGAATCGATCCAGAAAGAGGAAAGTTTTAAGAACAAATGTCTGGATGGTAGCAATATCTTCATGTCAAACGACGATCAGGACATGGAAATTGTAAAGGAAAAAGAACAAAAGCAGGAGACAAATTATTCTGACAACAATGTATATGATTTTGGACTTCCTCTTGAAAAGACTGATAATTCCTCAAAAATTGTTCCGGATGATGAACAACCTACCTCAAAAAATGATCAACCACAAGAACGTCACAGCCTAAAATTGACCATAAGTAAACGCAACAAAGAATATTATAATCAAACAGAGATTGATAGCAACGAATCCAAACCTTTTAAAGAGACTGATAGTTTTTACAGTTCTGTGCAGAACAGGGAAAAAGAATCTGTCGAAGATTCAAATGATTTGAGACCTGTCACTGATCAGCACGATGCAGAATCGAGTTTTAACGTATCTAAAGACCTGAAGAAGGTAAATAAAAGAAATATAGAAAGAGTTAAGGATGTAAATGAAGCGCATCAGGTAGATTGTGATGAAAATAATATTAAGGTGGATGGCACTATGTCAAACGAGCCATTAGATCAACAAACTCAACCAGACAGTGTCGTAGGATTGCAAAGTGAGTCTATGAAGAGTTCGAGGCACACTAAAGTCAAGAAAGGCAAGAGTAAGAAGCATCTAGAAGAAGTAGAGAATCCTTCGGATCTTTCAACTGTTAAGAAAACATCAAAGTCCAAAGATAATCAGAGCAGGCAGCTCCAAAAGGAATTGGTGAAACTTCCAGAGACCATAATTGACCAAGAATCCACAGAATGTTCTGAAACTTTGGGACTGGATACATCTGAGAACGAGAAACAAGAATTCTCATTGTCGAACTTACAGCTGGAGAATGATCTGTCTGAATTTATGAAGGCAAGTAACGAAGATGAATGTAGATCCATTGGAGAAGTTTTTGAAAATCCACAATTTTGTCCTGACGTGGAAATAGTACCAAAGAAAAATTCAAATTATAATGAAGGACGTATAATCCTCCAGTCTTTCCATGAAGAAGATGAAGCTTCCTCGTCTAGTCTCGAGGACAAACCTTTGTCGGAGATTTTATTGATGGCTGATGAGAAATTGCAGGCAGATATTAAGCAAGAGAAAGGACGACAATCTTCAAATATTCTGAAGAATCTTGAGGAATCAAAGCTTGAAGTCGAGTTAGAAAATCAAGATTGTACTGAAAATGATACCAGAAATATTCATGAAAATGATCCAATATCTGATGAGAATGAAATGGTTAATAATGAGCAAATTGTGTCCCAAATTCCATCTGAAGAAGAATCTGAAATATTGAAGCCAGCAGAAGACTCTGACAAAAATACAATTTCGTCGGAACACGAGAACGTTGAAGCAGTGCCAAAAGTAAAAGTTGATAAAGAAGCAAAAACAGTTAGCAATGGGCGCAAATCAAACACCTCCGAGCGTCAGAATTTAAATAAGAAGGCGTCCAGGTCGCAGAGATATGGTAGCAAGGATAGTCATCGGAGATCTAAGAACAAAAAGATTTCCCTGAAAAGCAAGATCGCTGATCTGACCAGTGAGAGTGATGATAGCGACGCGGAAGACAAAAAGGAGTCTCAGAACAAGAGTAAAATTGTGAAAAGTGTGTTCGGAAGGGTTTTTGGCTGTGAAAAGACTGATAAAGTGAAAGAGGTCCTCAACGATTGGGTCTCCAAATCAGAGGATGACTCTGATATGTCAAGACCTGGTAGCACGAATGACCTGAAAACATCAGAGACTAAACAGGAGGACAAGAAAAGACATTCCATTTCATCATCCGCACCTTTCAGTCCAAAGAAACGAACAAGCAAGAAACCTACCAAGAGCTCTTTCTCAGACAGAACCAAGGATCAGATCTCAGCGCCTGAAATTCAGGAGGAGCATCGCTCTGGTAAACACAACAAGTCAAAGAACTCGAACAACAGAAAGAAATCAGATCCAGAAGCGTCCAACTATTACTTCTTGGTTCTGCCACCGACAAGCTGTAGGCCCAGCAAGAAACGAGCCGAGGAAAGAATCTCTAGAGCCTTTGAGGACGAACTCTCTGAATCCAACGCGACCAAGGAGCAAAAAGCTAAGCAGAAGGAAGCTAATTATGGCTTGAGAAACCAGAGCAAAGACTCGGGTGTCAAGGATAATGGACCCTACAACTATCACGATGACCCCTCGAAGCTGGAGACCCTGGAAGAACCCATGGAGAAGAATCCGAAACTAAAGAAACGTAAATCATCAGCCTCTAGAAAAAGCAAAAGCAAAAGCGATGAAGATAATTGGGACGATCCAGTGGAGAAGGATACAGAGAAGAGTGTCAAGGAATCTGGGGATAAACATGACTCTGTTAAAAATCTTCCCCAAGAGAATACATTGACCGAACAACTGTCTGTTGATCTGGAATCCTCAAACAGTTGCAGCAGTGTGGCCCCAAGCAGCGTAAGGAACAGATCACCCAGCTTGGACAGGAATTCTCAAACAACTAGGAACTCTGAGATCGATGAAGAAGAAAATGAGGATATGGGGCACAGGAGGATATCGCCTCTGTTTGTCTGTGGAACACCCAGAAGTTCCATCGAGAGCAGTTCGAACAGTGAAAATGAAGAAGAGGATGAAAATCTAGATGCCAGTGAGACTGCAGCAAGGAAAAGGAGTTCCAGTGAATTCTCTGGGGAGAAAATCGTCATCAGATCACCCTCTTCCACTCATAAAACCGAAATGGTCACCATTGCACCCACCGATGCCATCGAGGACAATGCTTTGGATGTTCCCCAAGAAATAGAGGCTGCGAAACCCAGGCAAGGGAAAGTGTTGAATTTCGATGAGGAGTTGTTTGTTGAGTGCTGCTCCAGGTTGAAAGCCACCACAGAGAATGAGCTCAGAGGTGCTAAGAAAATCAAGCTGGATCACAGCGAGGGCTATCATAGGAAGGAAGATCAGCAACAAGGATTCAGAGGACCCAGGGACCGGTGGAGGGATGTTGAGAGCCAGAACAGCCTTGGAAGTCTCCTGGAATCCGTGAATCAGGTGAGTATTTGAATAGAGTGCTGAAATTGCATGCATGAGAATATTTTTTTCAATTATTTTAGGTCACGTAAGAGGTGAACAAGATTCAATTATGTTGGAAACCTTGCGTCAAGTTGATGTAAAGTTTAGAAACCTAATTTGCATTATTTTTAATCAATTTTACATAATTGTTGTTTTGTAGACACAATTCAATTCTTTCCGTCAACTTGACACTATTGTGTTGCTTTAAAAATATTGAAGAATTATTATTGGAAATAATAACTGCAGAAATTAGTGTTTTTTTTTTGTATTGTATTTGTTTTAAAAGATAGTATTAATTGAAAATGTTCACGGTAAGTCGAAGAAATTTCAGAATATTTCTAAGAAGTCCACAGTTTCACGATAACACTACACATTGCATGCAGTCATTTTCTGTTTCTTTTTTTTCTCTTTCCGTTTTTTGTGGCATTGCTTTGTGATTTCACACTGTGTGCTCTACAGTTTGCTTATAAAGAAAGCTTTTTAATTCTGCAGATCGTTTTCTTTTTATAGATGCTCATGGAATTTTTATCTGTAGGGGTGTCTCCAGAACAATACTACTTTCGATTTCTGTGGTGAAAAGCCTACATTTCTTCCTCTTAGTTATTTTACCATTTAAACAAAAATTTATAATGATTGTTCATACATGATATTATATTCTAATGGAATCTTCATTATCAAGTAATACATTTCGTCAAACATTATTAATGTTACCAATTGTCAAAATTATCATTCAAATTTGATCTAATTACACCTTTTACAAAACATATGTAGATTTAGTTGTTTGAATATTCTAGGAATAAAATTTCAGTAGTAAAATGGATCACACCCTTACACGGAGTTCCACATGGAAAATACTTTATACATTATTGTGATAATGTTTGCAGGACCTATGAACCAGCTTTATACAGACAATGTCTCTCAGTATGCATGCAAAAGGTAGTTCTCTCATTCCTTCGACATTTCTTAGTGTGTACGGTAGTTATGACAGTTGTCTGCTATTCCAACGATGTTGCATAAAATTATTTAACGACAATTACAAATAATCAAGTCTGTCCACTACTACACAACTCTAATTACAGTTTGTTTCTTCAGTTTTTAATTTTTCATTCGACTTTCATACTTATATATACTTGTCAGGCTCATCCCATCGATTCTTTCTTAAAACAAAAAAAAAAAACAACTTTACAGCTTTCCCTATATTTTTTTCTAGTAGAAAAGAATGTTCAGCTTGGCATTGCTAATCCTCCTCATTCATTTTAACATTACACTCACTAAAATACAATATTCCTCTCGATCTTATCAATCTGCCAACAAAATGATTCTCTTTTTAAACTTACTTTAAAAGAATCTATCTTAATATCATAAGATACAATTCAATCAGTTAACACGTACCTGCGATTCAATATTACTATGTTACAAAGTGACCCATTCGAATTTTCAATATTATATGAAATCATTTAGAAATTACTAAAAAAATCATTTAGAACAAAAACATCTAATTTCTTGATTCCGTCATCCTCGAAGTGGTCCACTTTGTACATTCACAGGAACTAAAAACAATTCTGAAGGTGCAGAGTTTCATTTCAGAAAATGTCAGCTTAAGTCAATCGATATTCATGAGTTCACACGATTTCAGTTGCTTGGAGAGGAGATGTACAGCACCAGAGAAAGGGATTACCCGAAACGTGGTGGTAGAAACATAAGGAGCGAGCACTCCAGCAGATCAGCCAGCCCAGACATATCCAGAGCGGACAATCTTGGCTACGAGGACAGTCTGGACGTAGCATTCGAACACAACAACATGCTCAGGGATAAGATTCAACAGCGTATGAGGGAAAGTGAAAGCCTGATAGCCAGCACATTTGGCCAGAAGAGCAGCAACGAAGTTATGGATGGTGAACACCCATCGAAGAATATGGAACAGAACATCCTGAGAAATTCTTATGCTCGTATGCCAGACGGGGGTCACTTGTCTGGACCAAATCTATCAAATGGAGACTACAATGATGATCTAAATGTCAGAAACTTACAGGAACAACATCCTGGAAAACTAAATCTAGAGTCTTCAGGGTTCAAAAGCAAGATGAATTCCGCACTGGGTGGTCTGTTGGACAAAGCTTTATCCAACTTGCTCCACAATAATGGAAAGCATGATCATAAGTAAGTAATTTAAGTGTTGCACTGTAGCAAGTACTTCAGATCATTAGTACTGACCTTACACTTATCCTCGAGTGTGTGAAATTAAAAAAAACACTCTGAACTGCTTTCAATAGGAGTCTTGAAAATGTTACAGAAATTTATGATAGTATCAGGGATTTGACAGATCAGATGACATTGCAGTCAACAGAAATGCTTTCGCTGTATATATTGAAAGTCTCTTGAATCTAACACATTTGTACTTCTTTAAAAAATATTTAACAAACCAGTGAATACAGTTTGCTGTTGTATTACATAAAAACCGTAACTCTACATTGCTAATCGTTGAATGAGTACCCCTTCTTGTGAAAAATACAATTTCTACAATGGATCAAATGTCAAATAACCAGTTTTTCATTTCTACAACCTGTTGATCGCGCCTTTTTAATCTCACCGCGATTTCTTGTTTCTATTCAGTCTGTCAATTACGCGGACTGCTACATCACTCTGCCATTGTCCTAAAAAAAACTGATGGATATTGAACTAAATCCCCCCCCCACTTTGCGAGCCAAAAGCTTTTACGTTTTTCTCCCCGATTCACGAAGTAAATTGTTCTGTGGAAATGAGAATTCGACATTTCACCTTTCAAATAACACGTTTTATAGTTTCCAAATTTGGTGACTCTCCATTCCTATTGAAATATTTAAAGTATACAATTTTAATAAATAAGAAATATCCATACCTTTAAGTTTTTAGTTCTAAAATCCTCCAATTTCACTAGACTTCAAAGCTTAGAATTTTGAGCTCTAAGAAACTTCAGATTTCCAGTCCTAACAATGACATAGTCCAAGCAGAGGTATCTGGAAATAACAAGAAAAGTGAAGAACTATAGTCGAATGGTTTCCTATTCATTGGTGTTATGTATTGATTTGAATCCATTACTTCACCAGTGACAGTTCTTATATTTTACATTTACCCCAGAGAAATTCAAATGACAGTGGATTTGGGGGACCTTTAGTTCTTCTGCGTATCGTCAGATCTCTCTCATAATTCACCAACAAGTAATTTGAAATATAAAGAAATCTCACTTACGTCTATGGAATATAATTCCTATGGAAAAGTTACTATAGTTTGCTGATCAATATAATTGCAACCAGCACTCTAATATAACCATTTTGTTTGCAGTGGATCCACACCGATGAAGGTTCTAGCAGAGCTGGCCTGTGCCCGAGCCCCAACATCCACAACAGGAGACTTACCGTCCCAAGAGGACATCCAAGTCCCAATGAAAATCTCTGCGATAAACAAAGAGTGTACCCCTGATGTAGGTCCACCAACCATCGCCAAAGATCTACAGAAAAAGGTTAGGAACCCCATCAAGGAACTCTTTGAGAGGAAGAAGGAGATGAACGAGAGGAAACAGCAACAGGAGAAATCCAAGACAGAAGCTGCTCTTCGTGAGCTGAACGTGCACAGACAACGGAAGACCAAGAAGACCAAGAAACACCAGGACTTCCCTCTGATACGTCGCAACGAGCACGGAGGACTGGTCGAAAGGAAGAAGCGTCGCGATGGTTTCGAGAGAAAAGAAGAGTTTTCATCGGACAGGATAAAGGATGTCTACGAGTTCGACGAGGAGGAGAGCCAAATCGAGCCCAATTTAGGCAGCGTGATGTCCTACAGGAGTAGACCGGGCTACGAAGTGAATTGCATAAGGACCAAGGAAGTGGATGTGGCTGGACTGATGTCCAAAGCAATCGGTGACACCCTGGAGAATGGGAAAGCTAGCGAAGCGTTGAGCAGCAGGTTGGAGTCGATGATAGACAGGAAGTTCAAGGAGCTGGAGAAGTTCGCTCCGAAGACCAAAGGTGCACTGAAAGCTTTCCAAAGCGAAGAACGACAGGTCACTGGACCTATGGATGACTTTGTCGAGAGGAGGCAACAACAGAAGCCAAAACGACCTATGGAACAGAGTCTCAAGCACTCGAAGCTGAAGAAGCGTAGCAAGAACCCTAAGAAAAAGCCTAGAAACGCCTGGTACGAGAACGACAGTTCGGACGAGTACAGGACTGCTGTAAAGGCCGAGGATGTTGGTGTGGGGATCTCGAAGAGCCAACGAACCTGCTCCAAAGGAAAACAGAATATATTCGCGGAGCTGTATACCTCGTCCGAGAGTGAATTCGACGACGAGGACGTGGATTACGAGACGAAGAGACAGAGGAGAGCTAAGAAGGTAACCAAAAAGGTGATCGAGCTTGGGAATGCTGAAGGAAATCAGGAACTGGTCGATAAGTACTGTTTGGAGAACGAAGATCGTGAACACGATTGGGGGGACCAGGATTTAAAGGACGATGATAATAACAAGAATGACTGTGACAATAAGAAGTCCGAGTCAGAGATGTCCGAACAACCTCTGGTCATCGATGAGAGAAAGGATTCGGACGAACAGAGGAACAGCGACGAGGAAACTGAGACTCAGTACGAGAGAAACTTTGATCTGGATGATTTGTACAGGGAGGACAGTTCAGTGGCTGACTCAGATATTGAAGAACCAATTGTTTCAGAAGCTCCGAATCCTCTGGAGGAATCCAAAGTCGAAAATCCAAGTTTGTCTGAAGAAAAGACAGATAATAATATAGATTACATGCAGGAGGACGAGTTGATTCCGCTGGAAGAGGCCTTGGACCTTTTGGATCAGGCTGATACTAATTTAGAGGTGAACTATGATAATTTCAGAAAAGAAGCCAGGTCTGCGGAACGAATTGACATAATAGCACCCATAGAACCTGTAAACGAAACACCAGATCCAGTTCTAGAAGCAGAAGTCAAGCCTCTCAGCCCTGTGGAGGAACAGGAAGAGGAGCCTGACAATGATCTTCTGTCTCTGCCAGAGAAATTGTCGACCAATGAGAAGCCGCAAAAGGAGTCTGACAACCTTCCACTACATGTGTTCCTCAGCAGAAAGGTGCAAGAATCGAAAAAGAGGAAGGAACAGCAGTTAAAAAAGATGCAAGAGGAACAGGAGAGGATTCTGATGGACTTCCAGCCAACCAGGAGGCAGAGAAAGTGCGCTATTGGGAAGCAAGGACTGCTGGCAGAAATAAGTAGCTCGGACGAAGAAATCAGCCTGAGGGACAGCAGGAAATCAAACGACAAATCGGATCACGAGAAGCCACGTAAACAGAAACGAGAATCCAAGGAAAAACGAAAGGAAAGGTACATAGAGAAGAAGCACGAACAAATGATAGCCAAGGAGCAAAAGGCTATAGAAGAAGAAATCCTTAGAGAGCTTGGGAAGAAGAAGGAATCCCTTACTCAGTGTATCGATGCAAAAGCAGACTTCAACGACACAAAAGAGCCAGACGATGCAGCATCTGGCGAGGCAAAAATTGTTCAGGAGCAAACGCAGAAGAAGAAACACCAAACAAAGGAGAAACAGAAGAAGCTGAACAAATCAGAGGAGGATGTCAGCATTACGAAGAACAATGAAGAACTGAATGGCCTTGAGAGCAATTGCAGCAAATCGACTCGCCTAGAAGGTGATCAGGATAGTGAGACGAACCAGGAGTCTGCTAACAAGCTGAAAAAACATTCAAAGTCACCAATGAAACCTAAGAAGAATTCGAAAGGAGACACTAAGGTAGCAGTGAGTATTAAAAAGGGTAAGAGTTCGATCGCTGACAAGTCCAAGAGCAAAACAGACGCTAAAGGATCTAAGGATAAGGAGCGTAGATCCTCGAGTGGTCGACGAGACTCGGACGATGAAGAACTGAAGACGACCAAGTCGTGGAACAAAGTCGAGGAGGGGGTCGGTGTGGCGATTGGTAGACGGAAACGCGCCGCTGCCAATCAGTTGTACTATTGGTCCAGTTCCAGCGACGAAGAAGAGATGCTGGATGTGGTTCCTGCGGTCGAGGAAGAGGAGGACGACCGCCAGGAGCAGCATGGTTGGATCGTGGGTGATTCCCATAAGAGGATGATAACCATGCTGGCTATGGAGAAGCAATTAAAAGAGAAACGAAGAAGAAGCGAGGATGAATTCGAGCCTGGCAAGACAAAGAGCAAAAAGCACCGGAATAGCACCTCTTGATACGTGTTTCATGATTAGGTTCGTTTTAAACAATTCAGAATACCAGAGAACGTTTGGTTATTTTGTTTTTAAAAGGCAAATACACCAGGAGGGCACAGTGATCCTCCAAGCAGGATGTGATCGCTGGCAATGAAAGGAAATTTAGTACCTCAAAGGACCAGGAACTGAGGGAATATTTCGTAGTTTTCATTCCTGAAATCATACGCCCCCAGGACTCTATAGATGAGACGAATAGGTGGAGAGAGAGAGACACTTTTTGTAACAAGATGTAGCATAACTAGGTCTTTTTGATACTAGTCCTTAGGTTGAGGACTAACCTAGCCTAGGTTAGGTTTGGTTAGGTTACGAGGGAATTTTAAGTCCATCGAGGTAGATCGAAGTATATCATTAAGTAACGAGACAGGATCAGTAACTTTCCAAGCTGAGAGAGAATTTTTAACCAGTTCGTGTCTGGCAGAACGAACACACGTTCAAGATTAGCCAGTTAGAGGAACTCCAGAGGACAGAGGTACTGACGGTGGTGGACAAGTTTTCTTTGTATTATTTCTCAAGTATACAGAAAAGAAAAAAAATGGACGCTGTTGCGTGAATTTAGTTTTTCGTTTAAATGTTCATGGATGATTCGTGTGGCAGAGGACGATCTTATTAGTTGTAGTGGACGTGGCGCTTAAATTGTTACAATTGACACACGCTTATTTGTTCGATCGGACGATGGAACGAAATGTAACATACTGCCAAGGGGGAGAAATTCGAGTTTTTCTTTTGTTCGTTCGTGCGTCGTAATGAGACGGTCACATTTGTTTTTTGTTTTATTTTAATGAAAAAGAGACCGCGAAGCAGATTAGATTAGGTTAACCATTTTGTACATAGCACACAGCTTGGCGTTCACGTTCAAATGGGGGCAAGCTCGTATTACGTTAAGGAACATTATGATTCCAAGCTCTTATAAATATTATAAATATTACCCTAACGTTAGACTGAATGTGAGAAATAGCGAAATTAATTAAACGAAACCGAGAAGAAAAAAAAAAAGAGCACCTTTAGACAATACCTAGGACAATTGTAACGTTTTTAGTTATTCCGTAGTGGATCTTTAGGTGACTGATCAAAAATATTATTAAAAAAGCAAAAAACAAGAAAAGGGAATCCGTGTCACGTTGGAAAAGTACAGCAGTGAAACTGAAGTGGGTGGGTGAATGGATAAAAACGGCTGATATTTTAACTGTTCGAAGGACGATTGTAAACTGGGGTCCAATCGAGTTACATAGCGCTTTCGCCCGCTTTTTTTGTGATCGTACATATCGCGATATCCGAAGATAAAATAAAGAAACGAACTATTGAACCGCGTTTAAAGATAAACAAAAATTAGAAAACCATTCACGCGGATAATTGCTTAAGCCGCGTTTTTACCATAATAGAGGAACCCATCTCCGTTTCCATGCGTTCGAATTCCTAGATCTCATGTGTCGCGTCATCAATGACATTGTGATGATTGCCACGTATTTAAGGAATATTAAGAACAAAAAAAGCAGCAAGCTTGTAAAACAAAACAAAAAAAAAACGGAGAAGAAGCGATTAGAAAGATTTTCCTTTCGTACACGCCTAGTTGATGCACATAATTCTAAGTACCGTAGATTTTCATATGGTATAAATATAAATAATTATAAAAATGTACTGCCATAATCATTATTATATTATATACGAGAGCCTATGCGAATATAGTTATTAATTATTAATTCCTGTAAAGATGAACAACCGGCAAAAAAAAAAACAACGGACAGAGCGACATGAGGGAGGAAAAAAAAATGAAATATTTAGCACAAAAAAAAAAGAAACTAGACAACAATCCGATTGTATATAGAGCATATTTTCAATGTGTCTGGAAAAGTATGTTTTGTAATATAAGGATCGCAAAAGGAAAAATAAAATTATTAATGAATCACACATCCTAATGTGTTACACGTGTTATATGGAATGAATGACGAACCTTGATTGACGGAGAGAGAGAGAGAGAGAGAGAGAGAGATAGCATGATAATCGTGCAAAGGGGAAGATTTCATACTGCGTTGTAACGGTGTATATGTACAGGGTATCCCGAAGTTGCGGTACGTGGACATAGCTTTGGTGTAGCAAACTTGAAGTGAATTTAAATAAACCTTGGATTGATCTGAGTTCTCTTCTTCAAAGTAATTATAGTCGACACTAGATAGAAAATAAGAAAACTTTTTTTTAATACATACACAGGGTGTAACGGAGGTGACTAGACAAACTTTGGTGTCTTTCTGCTCATCTTACGGATGAAGAAATGGCATGTAAATGTGGCTCCCAAAATGTTTTCCTACTTGAGATTATAAACAGTTTCTTGTACGCTTACTTGACTAACACACGTGTACTGGCCCTGGGAGTTACCAGTGATTAGTACCGTTGAATTATATAAAGGGATCTTTGAGTCCTAAATGGAAATATTACAAATATAATTAGTAATACTGTTGTGATCCAAATAATCACCGTGTAACATGTAAATATTTATATGCTTAATAGAAAAACTTAAATAACATAATGTGACAGTGTGTTCTTTAATTTTTTGTTAAATTAATTGGCTACTTGTCAATCAAACACTAATATCTCCATAAAAAATGAAAAAATTTTTAGATCCAAGTTTATATGATCTTTTTTCATTCTTGAAATGAGTACAATGCACTGCTAAAATTTGTCTATCTATGGCCATTACACCCGTACTACATGAAGAAGAAAAAAAATCACTAAGATTATACCTATTAAAAATCCCTTTTACGATGGAAAATTAGTGCATTTTTATCCGAGCCATCATTTTCAGTTTTTGTTGTTTATTTAACTGAATTCAATTCTATTAGATCAATGCAAACGAAATATTTTATTTTATTGATCAAAATATGATTGTGTTATTTAGCAAAATATAAATGAGTTCACACAATTATTATTCTAATTATACTTTTAGAAGTCAATTTTAGGAACTAAATGATTTCTGTCCTATTCTTCAATGTAGGTTAGTGGAATTTACCTTTGGATTTATCTCAATATTTTTTCATTCATTGCAAGGAATCTTTGAGCAGTTTTATCGTTGAAACACGTGTGTTAAAAAGTGCCTTTTAATTAAATCAAGCGTTCTATTCCAATGTAAGTATTTGTACAGTTAACGCAGAGGACATTCAAACTTTTAAAAAAATTCGTTGACTGTTACCGTTGGTCGATTTCGTATTCGAATTTTAATCCCTCCAAAACGCGGAAAAATAGTGTCTGTACATGGAAATATGAACTAACGTTTTTAAAGTTCATAAATACAATGAGTATTTAGTCGAACAACAAGAAACAAATCTTTCTTTCAATAATTAATTCATAATTCACACGAGAAACGTAAATTTAAAGAAGTTAATACAAGTTCGAAGTTGCAGATGAATCAACGTTGAATTATATTCTAGTTATTTCATCGTTGTGACCATCGTAATCGCATTGGTCGAGATCTAGAACCAAAATTCATTCGATTGGCAAGCATAAAAATATTAAAAATATGTTCACGCGTGTGATTTAGCGGAACCCCCTTTCCCTCATGTCCGTGTGCATCGTTCAAATAGGTCGGAATATGAGGCGATGAATTGTTAATTAAACACACGCCACAATCCGTCGGATTTTAGAGAAGTTTTACAAACCTGCTTTGATATACACGTTATATGTATATCACCGAGAAAAATATATTTTAGTAATCGTTTTTCGTATCTCGCCGCTGACCAGTATCCCGCAAAATGAAACAAATTCTCTGTGGCAAGATAGGGTAAGATCAATCAAGTCGTCAAACGGGCTAAGTAAATAAACCTTTCGATTCTCCCAAGGTGTACTTTATGTTTCGTAACATATTTTCACTGTATGTTTACGTGCTAGATTTTGCAACTTTTAGGTTATGTCTTCGTCTTTGATTAAAACTATGAAACTGTCAAAAGCTCCGTTTTATCAGTATTTTATTTGCCAGATGATACTGTCCCTTTGATGTTCGTTCTTTCATTCTACAGAAATGATATTTTAAAACTGTACATCTCGTATTTTTGTACTGCTTCTATTAGACCAAAAAAAACAGATGTTCATCCTAAACACTACTCCGTTATAGTTTCTATTTTTTCTTAATTACTTGTACCCTTTTGTTGTATGAATCAATAGGTTTTTATTTGAAGAAACAATGCTGAATAAGTTTTCAGTTAATTTGCATCAATAAAAGCAGAATAAATGTTGAAATAAAGTGATACAAAAAAACTGGTAAAAGATAATTTTCTTACTATTAGGGTACATGATAGTAAAGTTAAATTGAAAACACACACCTATAAGAAAATCATATAATAATTATAGTTCTATAATTGAATTTGATTTGAAGTGAATTGAAAACACACACCTATAAGAACATCATATAATAATTATAGTTCTATAATTGATTATGAAAGCATATTTTGTTCCTAAATTTGATTTTTACTAGTTCATGTATTGTTATATGAAACATGAAATATTTTCATTTTTCAGGGACAGTGTCCTGTTAATCTCAAAGTCATCCCGATATCCAATTTCTGTAATCAGTACAAGGAAGTTAACGTCTGGTGGAATGAGCAGAGTTTACAGGCCATTGTTATCATCACCCCATGTACGATATTTTGGAAACCCTAATCGTGCATATGCTATGTTTATTGGAAGAATTTTAAAGGGAGCATTAAAAATTCGATATTTATTGTTGGGAGGTGCAGTTGGTGGTGGAGTAACATTACAGAAGGTCAGTATCATAAAAGTATTGGAACCCTTTGCAACTATGCACTTTATGCTGCTTTCTTTATTTTTTTAAGAAATATGACCAGTGGAAAGAAATCCTGCCCGATATGACCTGGTTAGAGGATGTTTTTCCAGATAAAGAAAAATGGCAAGGTTTTCGTGGGACATTAATGTCTGTAAAGGATACCATGGCAGATAAAATAGAGATCGGTAAGTAAGAAAACAGACATTACTATTCCAAATATGCGAAAACGTGAGGCAAAAGAAATTGGAGGCATAAAAAAAATGGACAAAAACACAAACAGATCCACGTATAAAGCAGTTTGGGGAAGCTAAGTACAAAGAGTACAGACAGTGGTTTAATCAGAGGCTGGACGATGCTATCAAGGCTGCTGAAGTTACAGACACTGAGTCGGGTCTGGGAATTTCCTCTAAGAGTGAGTTGTCTACAGGATTGTGTTATTTTTGTATCATTGCATGTTGAACGTCCTACTTTCAGTGTCATTACCATCCTCCCTGCTCTCAGTCCCTCAGTTTGCCTGACGTTTTCTCACCTGCTTTTTTAAATTATATTTGCAGCAATATTTTACGCCTTCATCACAAATTTTTCGCACTAATATTCGTTTAAACTGATGCATTTTACATTGACGATATTCATGTCAATATAAATTAAAATAGTAAATTATAATTATAGGAACTGAAGAAACAAAAATAATTATTATTATTGTGATTTTAACGTTTAGTATCATTAGTGCGTTCGACGCAACATAATCCCCTATGCGAACAAAATGTATGAATGATACATAAAGTAATTTAAATCGTAAATTTTCTATTCAAATAATTTCAATACATCACCAGCGAATATTTTTGACTTTTTAAATTATCGTTAAAATAATTTCAACCCGTGTCTCATTCATAGATCAATGAATAAAATTTAGCATGTTGCAATGCCATTCAGTTCTATACAGTACATTGTTCCACTACACATCTAGAAATATTTCATTATGGTCTGTTCTGTTCAGGTATATTTGACGCGATCAGAGCAATAGTATACCAACTTTATTCAGGTGTGTAAAATACTCAAAATTATCCGCATACAACTGTCTGTCCATTCAGCATTTTTTTTGCCCATAGTTTTAGTATAATTTTCGTCGATTTTGAAATTCTAATATATACATCCATCTGCAAGCAACTAACAGATTTTTTTTTTAATCGAATAAGCAATAGGAATGAATTTAAATACTGAATGGGACAGACCCATTTTTTAATTTTATTTTCTCATCAAACATAGCTTGAATTAAACTTATTTTCATTATTTTTGAGTATTTGGTTGCCTTGTGTGTCCGTAACATTAACACTTTGCTGATATCTTATAATACGTGTGACTGTTTCATTCCATGAAGAAATTAATACAGTCGTTTCAGCGAATTTTGTGCAATTTAATACGGTATTTGCTTTCCAGCAATTATAATGATGAATGTATTAATATACACAGAAACGATTTGTATTGGCAAAGTGTTAGCGTTTTCAATTACCAGCTTTCTTGCAAGCTGTTCCGGGCTTCATTCAAATCACAAATGTTCTGTTAAACAGAAGCCAAGGATGAGTTCATAAACAATACCGTAGCATATGCTCGGCCACTAGTCGACGACAATATCGAAGAGGAACGTAAGAAAGCTCGTATGTACATATCGGTGTATCACAAATAAATGTACCGTAGATGTAAATAGTAACTTGTAATTTTACACGTTTTCTAATTTCATTGAAAAGAAAAATCGCAACAGAGATTGAACGCTATGCAGGAGGAAGTGATGCAAATGCAATTGAAGTACCAACGTGAGCTTGAGAGACTAGAGAGAGAGAATAAGGAGCTCAGAAAGCAGATGCTTCTACGTGGAAATCAAAAACTAAGCAGCAAAAAGATAAAAGTTAGTCAAACTATCTAAAACATAAACATAACCTTTGGGTATTCCAACATTATCATTGTAAATGCTTTTAGAAATCGTTAATCGACATGTACAGCGATGTTCTAGACGAACTCAGCGACTACGACAGTGCTTATTCTACTGCTGATCACTTACCAAGAGTGGTAGTCGTTGGTGATCAAAGTTCAGGCAAAACCTCTGTCTTAGAGATGATTGCTCAGGCAAGAATATTTCCGAGGTAAATATCACACCATTTAATTTGCAATTTATTTACAAATTTTCCAATAATATATTTCTCTGTACGATATTCTGCTTTCAGAGGTGGTGGTGAAATGATGACCAGAGCTCCGGTTAAGGTCACATTAAGCGAGGGTCCGTATCACATAGCTCAGTTCAAAGACAGCTCCAGAGAGTTCGATTTGACGAAGGAATCGGAACTGGCTGATCTGAGACGCGAGGTGGAGTTACGCATGAAGAACAGCGTTAAAAATGGAAAAACAGTCAGTCAGGATGTGATCTCGATGACGGTGAAAGGACCAGGCCTTCAACGTATGGTTCTGGTTGATCTGCCCGGAATAATTAGCGTAAGCGATACCTCGAGTGAATTAAATTGAATGAAAAAAGAAAAGAATTGGACGCTCATAAAACTTTTGCAACAGACAGTTACAGTTGACATGGCGGAAGACACACGGGACGCCATTCGACAAATGTCTCAGCAGTACATGAGCAACCCAAACGCGATTATTCTTTGCATCCAAGACGGATCTGTGGACGCCGAAAGGAGCAATGTAACAGACCTTGTGGCTCAAATGGATCCGACCGGTAAACGGACCATTTTCGTTCTAACAAAGGTACGACTACGTTGAAATAATGGCAATTTAAAATTACTGGACATTTTCAGTACGAAAAAATCGACTGTACAGTGCATTGACTTAAACAGGTAGATTTGGCAGAAGAGAATTTGGCGAATCCGGACCGTCTGCGTAAAATATTGTCTGGTAAATTATTTCCTATGAAAGCGTTAGGATACTTTGCCGTTGTCACCGGTCGTGGCAGACAGGATGACAGTATACAGACAATTAAAGACTACGAGGAAAAATTCTTTAGAAATTCGAAGATGTTCAAGTACGTTGGTAATTATATTAAAAGTGTAATAAAAATTTAGTTCCTTTAATGGTATTCGTTGCTTCTGATAGGGACGGATTGGCAATGTCTGGACAAGTGACCACAAGGAATCTGAGTCTCGCGGTAGCAGAGTGCTTTTGGAAAATGGTCCGTGAAACGGTCGAGCAGCAGGCCGATGCTTTCAAAGCGACCAGATTCAATCTTGAAACGGAATGGAAGAATAATTTCCCAAGGTGATGTGATCCCTCGCGGGTAGACTGCGGAAGTTTATGCAAATTCGCAATTTTGGGTACTAATATCGACAAATTCAAATGGAGTACAATTTTGAATTCTGTTCTAGATGCTTTACTACATTAATAATACGTAGTATTAAACTTTGGTAAAACCTTTACTGCATTTTCCAAGTTAAGAGATTATGGTGTAAATTGCATAAACATCCGCAGTCTACTTGCGAGTTATGCATATTCGTCAAAGTAAAGTTATGTTGCCTCTGATACAGATTCAAAGAATTATTATTGTTTTATGTAGATTGAGGGAACTGGACAGGGACGAACTGTTCGAGAAAGCGCGTGGTGAGATCTTGGATGAGATTGTCAACTTGTCCCAGGTTTCACCGCGACATTGGGACGAGGTATTAATGACCAGACTCTGGGACAAGGTTAGCATGCACGTGTTCGAGAGTATCTACCTGCCAGCTGGTCAAAGTGGAAATTCAAGTACGTGAATTTTACAATAACAAAAGCACTGAAGTTTCTATACAATACAAATAATGTTTGCGATTCAGGCACATTTAACACAACCGCGGACATAAAGCTTCGACAATGGGCGGAACAACAATTACCAGCTAAAAGCGTCGAGAGCGGCTGGGAATGTCTGCAGCAAGAGTTTCAGCAGTTCATGAACAAAGCAAAATTGAGCACCGATCACGACGACATTTTTGACAATCTGAAAAACGCAGTTGTTAACGAAGCGATGAGACGACATACGTGGGAGGAGAAAGTAAATTTGCTGAAAACGATTTCTTGTATTGTAACACTATAGTGAATTACAGGGTGTTTAGGAACATATATTTCCAGGCATCTCAAATGTTACGGGTCATTCAACTGAACACTTTGGAAGATAGAAGTGTGAACGATAAAAGGGATTGGGATCAGGCGGTACGTTTCTTGGAAACTTCCGTTAGGGAGAAACTACAAGCAACAGAGCAGATCTTGCGGGAAATGCTGGGCCCTGGTCGCAAGGAACGTTGGCTTTACTGGCAGAGTCAGACTGAAGAACAACAGAACCGTGTCTTGGTGAAGAACGAGTTGGATAAAATTCTGTACTCGGACAAAGTAAGGGGAACGAAGGAAAATGGTGCTATACCATAGAAATCTTTAAACTCAAGAGAATTAATACGTCATTTCGGTTAACAGAGACACGCTCCCACCCTCACGCAGGACGAGCTGACAACCATTAGGAAGAATATACAACGAAATGGCTTGGAAGTCGATCACGAATTCATTCGGGAAACGTGGCATCCCGTTTACAGAAGATTCTTCCTGCAACAGAGTTTGGCTAGGGCATACGACTGCAAGAAGGGATTTTATCTGTATCACACTGGACACGAGAGTGAAGTACGTAGAAGAATTGCAATGAAAATCAGTTGCCTGTATTTTTTTTAAATAAGAATTTATCTTTACAAATTTCCAGGTGGAGTGTAGCGACGTGGTCCTGTTTTGGAGGATCCAGCAGATGCTAAAAGTTACTGCCAACGCGTTACGACAGCAGATCATGAACCGTGAAGCTCGTAGACTAGACAAAGAAATCAAAGAGGTCCTGGAGGATTATAGTCAGGACGGTGAAATCAAGCAGAAGTTGCTAACCGGTAGAAGAGTCACGTTAGCCGAAGAACTGAGTACGTAGATTACACGAATACCAGAGATGGGCAAATTCATTATCTAGATAAAAAGTTTCGAATAACGAATAAAAGGTGAAAAGAAATTTTATCATGAAATAATATTTCTTCTGGAATGAGTAAACATTTTCCAAACAATTATTTAATCTCATGAACTGTTAAAGGTCAGGATGACGATCATAGATACTGCTGCTTCTCACTATGTATTATTCGAATAAAATTGTGCCCGTGTCTGATGAATACCGCGTATAAAGGGTGTATTCGAGGCATTATCGCATTCATTTTGTGTTCCAGAACGTGTTAGGCAAATTCAAGAGAAGCTAGAGGAATTCATTCAGGCGCTGAACAAAGAGAAATGAAGGGGATTAACTCGAGAATGTAGATATTTGAAGCCAGAAATGCATGGTATGTGATAAATGATACTAGCCCTGGTGGCTGATGTGCGAATGCTTAGGTATTAATTTATTTTTCCCGTTACTTGAACGTAGCAACGGGACGAATAAAACTAGTCACCGATTTTTAACGAGACACTCTGTAACCGAGAGACACGATTTAATGATACAGAGTCACGATTCGTTCTCGATCAGTCATCGCACGACTGACAAAAAAATTGATTGTATATTTGGCAATGCTTTTGTCAAATGTATCCCTGGACACGAATGCATTATTACGAGTACCGTCAATACCGATCATGCCAAGAGTAACTGGAAAATTTTCTGAACTAACGCCTCTTATACGTATTAAACAGTGCACATGTATATCAGGTCGTGTGTAGATATTAATTCTTACGTATATATATTTAACAATTCATGTAAAAACAATAACGGTCATTTCATCTTGTATATATTGTCTCCATACACGGAATGAATGGAACAAACGTTGTTGTACGGATAGGGAACCGATTGAAATAAACGGATAGAACAATAACTGAGTGCTCTTTAAATTACAATTGTAAATTGTATGGCGAAGTGATTCCGAAATCATTTTCTTTCTATTTTTTTTTTTGTTTCAATAAAAATGAACCCGTATCGTGAGAATAATGTTTTCATCCCAAATACTAGAAAAAAAGTAGCTCCCACATACACAATTTCATCTGTCTACAGACATTGTTTCAATTGCTCTTTTTATTGTATATATAACCATCACTCCCTCAGAAAGTTTGTCATTCACAATCCAGCAGAATCGTTGATTTAAGTACTCACGAAATCGGAAGATGCTTTTGTACAAGAATGGTAGAGATTATTAAAATACGTAATTTCTGTTCTCGATTCCCCTAACAGTACATGATATTTACGATGTATCCTGCTGAATCCAAATATATTACAAACTTACAAATAACCTGGTAGAAACATTTTAAAAATATTCATATTATCTCTTTAAGGATTTAATTGACTATGTGAAATCGCTAGGTCGGCCGGAGTAACTACGATTCTTTCTAACCTGTACTTGAATTCCAAGAATACTACTCCCAGATAAAATATACCCTATCTTTGGTCCAATTATCTGATAAAATATCTAAAGTTCGTACACTTCCACCATGACTGCTTCGCAAAATTCGCAATCCTAGCATTTGTAAATGTTGATTTGATTGGATGCCAAAATTTTGTAAAAATTATAGGCCGTTTTCTCAACGTACACAAAATAAAATGTTTTTTTTTTGTCTACGACAATTAACACACTTATGCACGAGAAATAGGTCGATATGGTGTGTATGTGTATGTTCCTGTGTGTTAAATACATCAACGACATGGGCTAAATGTTTTTTTTTTTCAGTAAACTCACTCTTTGTATGGAATTGATTAAAATATGTGAATTTCCATTTGTCGTTAGCGCATTAAAATCTATGTGTTTCTGAGTATTTCTCCCTTTGTATATATTTTTTTATAACGCAGCTCATATAAAATTAAACAACGATGTACATTTGGCAGAAATGTTTAATGTTTTTTCCTCATTGTTTACGGTACACTCAGAGTCAGAGTTTGGCAGATTTCTAATTTCCTGATAAGTAGTAAAATTTATCACAAGCAATCGATACTGACACATTACCTGCCTGGGAACTTTTAACAGAACTCACTAATAAATTTCCCAATGCCAATAGAAAATTATAATTGTGACTAAAAAGTGTCAAAACAATTATATAGTTGCATAAAATTTTTCCCTTTACTTACACGAGGAAAAATTCATTTGAGAAATGATGCCCAACTCTGTTCAGTCCAGTATTAGGTATCGGAAAAAGTTCATGTTTTACAATACAAACTTCAGACATTAATAACTTGCCTAAAATATAATTATCTTCAACCATATAGCACCATTTAATCTAGTTTCTCATTCAGGTCTCATAAGCTTGTACATTCCATTAACAATAAAGTCTTGAATATTGGTACACAAAAATGTACTAATTGCAGTGCGTATTCTGTCAAAATTTTGAAAACACTTGCTAAAGAGACTTATACAAACAAAAGTAACTGGTAACTGTGCAGAGAAAACAATAGATTATAAGATATGATAAAATTCTTAAATGTGTACAAATTCATATCACAAATGCAAAAGTGAAAATACCATAAAATTTACAAACTAAACAGAATGAATTATGTACTGATATCGACACATTATTTACTAAACAATAAAAAATTTTCGTTGAATCTATCGTTAATAGAGAACTTTTTTTGACACCAAATACTTCCAGGGTCGTAAAACCAGCAATAAATTAGCGCAACACGTTCATAAATAGGACTGCACCGATATATTGTTCTATGTATAAACATTACTATATACAATTATTTGCTAGTACACCATTGGTAACACGAAGGCGCGAATGGTTTGGCCGCAAATAAGGAGGAAAAAAGCGTTTTAAATGGACGTGTGGTTAAACGACACTTACTCGCAGTGACGTCGTGACGTATCAAATCCTTAATTCGTAGTTGCAAATCGTCTCCCGTGACATGAGAATTTGTACAAATACACAGGGTGGGTGGAGCACGCTCGTTGCAAAACTAGACCTCTTTCTTTTCGTTAAACATACAATGCACTAGCGATACAGAGTGATCCTGGATGAGGTTAGGAATAGGACGACATTGACACTTCGAATGTTCTCGAGAGTCCAAGACACATCACACTGTCAGAGTTACGTTTTCACCGCGTTATTGGTATCCTGCACGTCTGGTATCTGATCGATTGGATCGTTCTGTCCCATCTCACCCGTATTGTAACCAGAAAATGAACACGCTGGTGCACTTTTGGCCATGGCCACCACCGCCGCCTCGGGTAACAGAGACGTTCGTTCCGTTGCGCTGCTCCAGGCTTGCTGATAAGCACTGCGACCACGTATCCTGCGACTCAACGACGACCCCACTACCCCCAGGTGTTCTTTTATGTCGTTGTGTACGTCCGAGACGTCCCACATGGCTCTGCAAGTAAAAGGTCCTTCATAGATGTAAACATTCGTTCGGTCGACAGATGTCATTCAATTCACGTATGGAAAAACAGTCAATAGAAAAAGGTCTACGGTTTGAAATGGTGAGATCGACCGGTCATAAATCATTCATAAATATGTGTGGTATTCAGAGGCCTCTCTAAATGCCGGTTGTAAAGCTAAATATCTCACTGACTGACCCTTACGCACACGATGGACCTAACTTATTTTCGTATACGTGACAGTATATAGGGTGTCCGAGTATTGATGGTACATCTGCTGGATACGCGTGCGATTTAATAGGACTTGTTTAGCGTGTCTGTCCATTGCATTCCGTTTCTAGTTAATACCATGACCAATGCACGTGTTTCAGATTAATTTTCAAAGTCGATTTTCTCGAAAACAAAGCCTTGCCTTAAATGAACAAAAATGTATTCCATATTTTCAACTTATTTTCTCATGTAGAAAATACCTCTTCCCTGATTGTACCATCAATACTGGGACACCCTATATAATAACGCAGGAGTAAGAGATGAGTTTTTTGAATAATGAAGTTTCACGTAATTGTAGATGAAAATTGTAAATATAAATGAATTGTATATGTACGACCGTCTACTTTTGAACCTAGTTAGGCTGGGAATTCGGTACGCTACGTAAACTATTGTACTTTGAGAAAGAAAGATAATTTTTTAGGTGTACATAAAAACTGTTCGCTACCTGAATGCATCCCACCATGCTTGTCCTTGTGCTAGATTTACAAATGGTTTATAAGAAAAGCTATAGTGATGAGCGACCGCTGCCAAAAACATCTCGATGCAGATTAGGAAGTCTTGCAGTTTCGACGATATACTCCTGATATCATCCATGTCATTTGTATTGAAGATACTTGATATGACATCGAAATACACTAGCAACGCAACAAGTACACCTTGACTGTAACACAAGAAAGATGATTACAGACAAATCTTACGATACTAATCCTCGTAGGGCGTATTCAGACTTGTGTGAACTCACAAGAAGGAGAAGAACACGACTGCTTTGATACATAAGAACTTGCCGATTGGTTTCATCGGCTGTAAAGCATCCGCATTGGCACGGTAGAAGAGCACCAGACAGTACATGGCGACGAATTGCGATAAGTTATTTACAGCAATCATATACGGAAACGCTACGTCTGTTCTGAATTCACCTTCTCCGTATACACCATTCAGCTCACAAATACTGAAAATTTTGGAATCTGTGTGAAATACATTTGTACCATTTTGTGCTGCTGCAAATATATTAAGGTTGTTTTACACGAATGAAATTACAATTTTCAATCGATCAGAATATATTTCTGTAACTGCATACAAGTGAAAAATCATAGGGTTGTTTTAAAATTACTACCATTATGTTTCTTTTACACTCAAGTGTGACCTCAAATTCTGATTAGTTGAAAATAATGTTTCTTATTTCATTCCCGACGACATTTGTAACAGAACTTAGGACAGGACTAACTACAAAACAACAAACACGATACTTATAGGATACATTGTTAATGTAACGTTACGTATTAAGAATACATACAATGATATTAAAGTTGATATGGGCCTAACAGCAGTGTACTGCAATATTCCATGTTTGCACATATGTACAAATTCTCTTCCCATTTCCCAGTCGGGTAAACAACACAAGGGAAACATATGATGTACTTGACGGGAGATTTCAAGTCTGTGTTCCAATTGGCGATCCGCGTCCAAATAGGCCAATAAATACATCATAAAATTGTATATTACATACGCCTCGTAGCATTCTCTTAAACTATCCACGTATATACTCCCTTCTGGATACACCAGACCAAGCCACTGTACAAAATGAAAAAAGCATTATATACAGAATAAAAGAATATATGATTTTACAAAATAGAATTGTGTATACCTACAGCGTTTACTGCATAAATTGGTACCATCCATAGTATTCTGAAACAAGTTATAAAATTTACTTATAGTAAGTAAAAATAATACTTATTATAAATCAATATCTATTTGATACTTTTACATGTATAAATTCTAATACACTGATCCAACATGATCATATTTATGGTATTATAACTTCGGTTAGACGTTGAATCGCAGTCGCAGATTTTTCAAGCACTCGGTATATCAAAGTTAGATTGGTATCTGTGTGTATAAGAAACGGTCTGGATAATTGTGTAATAAGTCTGAAGCATTTAAATATGATAAGTGAGCTACAATGTTAACATTGCAAATTTGTAAGATAATACAAAATTATCAGTGTGTGTATTCAATTTAGTATACATATTTTAATTATAACAATACATTTTTCAATACAATTAGATTTTCGATTATTAAACAATAATATTGAGTTATACATGATGTTCTGTATCAACTTTCTAGGAAAGTGAATTTTGTTTTAATATTCTATGAATAGTAATATTTTTATTTTTTTAAATTTATTTTTACAATTTTTATTTTGTTTATGCAGTAAACGGTCTTTTTTGCGACAAATACGATTAAAAAAATCTTTTTTCGTTCGTCGGCAATTGTTAAAACATTATTCTTATGAAACTAAATATTGTTATAAAAAAAATGTCTATTATTTTTAAAAAATTTAGAATTTCTAGATCGTATAAGAAATGGGTTTATTCACTTATAGTCTTTAGCTACTTATATCTGTGGCTGCTGACCTTTCCTGTATCAAAGGTCAATCAATACAGTTCTTTGACCTTGAGTTTCTAAGACATACGTGCATCGCATATATTACCATAATACAAAGTTGCAGTTGCTACGAGAATAATAATGTCGCAAACTAAATGACGAAAAAAAGTAACGTAATATTGCGAACAACGTAAAGTACATTTAATCTCCTCCTTTTTTATCTTGAAATTACTCGAAACAATTTGTTGTACGAAAAAGCGTATGAAGCAAAATTTACAGGATTTCAAAGGAAACATTTTATTGTATAATTATTATAATAATATTAATTTAATTATACAAATAATTATTGTTTACACGTAAAGTTTTGAAGGTCACCTTGAGTTTTTAAAAAATTGAACACCCTATATTTCTCTACGAAAATTAAAAGATCGTTAAAAGCTGATCGAATAAGTGTTAATGCATAATGCGTCGAAAGTGGGTATTTACTGAGATAGTTACAATGAAAGTTTGATTGTAAAAGGTGTTTGAACTGTCGGCCGCTCGTGCTGATAAAGACATCTAATCGTCGGGCAAATGACGGACACACGTTGTCTAGTATACTTCCGACGATTTTTGTAGATACACTAATAATACATTCTTGAATTATTCTCCATGAAAATTAGTCTAACTTATATTGTAAGTATTTCAATAAATATTCACTTTAGACTTATTATACCTTAATACCTATTTACTCAGTTCTGAATGGTCCTTTAATTTCCGTAAAAAATAGTGTTCCGTTAAAAAAAATTGACCTTCAAAAATTTATGTGTAAACAATGTAAAAAAGAACCCTATTATTCTAACAAATGTTCTCAAAATCATGCAACTTTTGTATTTCACAATTTCAAGTCGTTAAGTTAAGTGAATAACCTTGCATATATAATTAGAGTATAAAATTAATTACATTGCTATTAACTTTTAAATTTTTGTTTAACGAAATATTATTCTCTTAACTTTTCATCACTACTGCAATTTCAATTTTCGATTGTTGGTTCTACATTTTCTTATCAACAATGGCACAGATATCCATTTAATGGTCAATCTGCTTATAGCAACACACATATACTACCCACACATGTATTATGTAACCGGGTACTGGTATGTATTCTACATGAAAACGGATCAATTAATGACTGAATCAAAGCTCCTTTATATAATTCAAGAAGTAACTCCCAACAAGGATGCAACAGCAAGTTGCTCTTAAAGGTTATTCAGACCCATTAGACAAGTTTGTAGATACTTTATGCATACATTTGCTTAAGTACATTATATTTACATAATCGTGTAAAAATATCATACAAAAACGATCTAAGTAAGAGAGTTTTCAATCCGAGTTTCTCATAATTTTCTATTTTAATGTCCAATACTTTGTATTTGTATATTATTTTGAGTTCCTACACATCAACAAGTGTTATAGTCAGGTTGAGAACAGCAGATAGGTTCATTGCCCATGATTGGTAAGAGGTACGAGAACAGGAGGCCTACTCTCTCTTTCTTTCTTGTATTCCTATACCTTTCCCTCAATTTACATAAAGCTGACTTAACAGAGACTCTGTCAGCTGTATCCACTACACAGCTGATTAACCCGCTGACATAACACAGACTGTGTCAAATGTGTCCAGTATACAGCCGATTAACCTACTGACTATAATCAGGTACATATCGTTTGAGGCTTTCGGGTGTAAGCCGTGTCCTTGTGGAATCGTTTTCCTAACGTTTCGCAAGCATTACAGGTAGCTTCATCAGGGGGTCAAAGACACACTGATGCTGGTGTGTGTCTTGTGGTGCTCCTCTAATACACTGGAGCTTGGTCATGTTCCGGTTCATTGCTTACCAATCAAAAGAGAAATTTAATTGGTCAGCTGAACCCGAAAGCCTCAACAGTGAGAACTGTATGATGCCGGCCATGAAAGCCTCAAATCTCTGATTAGGTACATATCCTTCATATTGAAAGAACAGAGTATAAATAGCCAACAACCGACCTGTCTGTCCATTTCCTACTTCAACCACCAGCCATGCTCACCTTACATTATAAATCCAAAGCGAACCCAACAAATAACAACGGACTCACCTGATTATGTACTTCTGCAGTCTAGGCTGTGTGTAATATATCATGTGTTGCACAATCTCGTAGAAAGCAATGGGCAATGCCAGCAGTACAAACGCGCCACCGACCAGAGCTCCTTGATCCTGCTTCTTGAAGCCATTCTTAATAGAGTTCGCCAACAGAATAGGCACCAAAACAATGATGAGCAGCGCGTAGAGGCAAGTTAAAACTGGCAGAATCCATAGCCGCCAGCGGCGACAAATAGAAGCCATCGCGGTGAATTCAAGTAGAGCAGGGAAAGTATCACATAATTTTCCAAGTCGGTCCCCAGTTCGAGCCTCTGAAAGCAGAAACCGGCGTTCTGATGACCCTCCTTACGATATCGCGTGTGCTGGTCCACTGGTTAGGTTACAACGAACCTAGCTGATGCTCCTTGACACGACGGCGAGATAAGCGGGTTCGAACGACGTTTCCATCGAGCAGAAAATTATTTCCATCGAGTTTTACGACGTTTCACAGGCTAACGACGACGTAAACATGATGCACGCAGTGTAACCGAGATGTTAAAAAAGTCATAACAACCTTGTCAGACACGATGAATCGACGATGAACCCGAGTCAGCTGACTATGACAGCACAAAGGGGGGAAGCCACCCGTGGACACCCTCGTCCCTAATTACACGATCAACGGGGGATTAACAATTCCGATTCAACCGTATCAATTCCGCTTCCCACTGAAGTAAGAACCATACGTTCCTTCGATTTCTGTAATTCAATACGAATACCGTAATATTCCGTTACGATTTTGATAGGCCGGATTTCGAAGTGAAATCACCTTTCAAACGTATGTCAGCCGAATGACTCATTCTAGCGAGATTTAACGAATAGACGAATAGATAACCGCGAATATCTAAAGCAGTACAATTTGCACGAGAGAAAGTATCGCACCAGTGTAAATACTATTTTGACATTTTCCGGTAATTGTGCGTATATTACTGTATTGAACTCTGCTCCCGGAAGTGCTCTTAGTCATCTGGCAGGCGGGCCCAATACCATTCGGGGAGAATGAGTCCCTGTGAGCTGGTGGTGCTCGAAATCGGTATGGGAACGTGTCGATCGAGCATTCACGCTCTCCATTTCCAAGGTCCAAAAACATATCGGAAGAATTCGTTGACGACAACGAGGAAGGAATATTATTTTATGGTTAAGACCTTGATTCAATGGTTTCTATATAGTACTTTTCGAAGCTTCACGTTGGTGCCGCTGATCACGATCGCGAACACTAGAAGGGGAAGGGAACATCCGTTTTAATGGCGTCAAGACCCAAGCACTGTTGTCACATTTTGTCCTACAGTGTTTCAATATTTTGCTTTGTTTATGTCGCTCGTGTTCCAACGAAAGGAGAGAAGAAATCCATCTGGACACGCGAAGATTGGTACAAGACGGCCGGAGGAAGCGGTTTTTCTCGCCGGGACGCGAATCAAGCCGTGAGAGAAATTTTCTGCGAGCTCCGGGTGCAGTGACCTTGATTCCTCTGTCATCTCTAAAGTATGAGAACGCGGGAATTTCGAATCGTGCTCCCGGCCCGCCGGATCCATTTAAGCCTATTCAAAAATAATAATTCGCCTCCAATGTTTTTCTGCCTATCAATTCAAATCGAAAAGTTAAACGTTTCAGAGGATTAGGTTGCAATCGTAATTTGCCCTCAGAAGTGAAAAACACATCAGTATATCTTTGTACACTGATTATTGGTTTTAAAAATGTAACTTTACTTTCAGGCACAACCAGCCAGCTTTCACAGATGGGTAGGAAATAATTACAGAGTACAGTTTTTCCCATCAGCAGTGGTAATAAGTAATTATGGAAGTTACGACGGAAGAAGCCCAAGCTGTGTTGCTGGAGGGAATGGAAGGTGCGCAATACATCACCATTCAGAGGGCTGATGGAGAGCCTCTAGGCAAGAGTGTGCCACTCTTAACGTTGAATGGAGAGCTAATTTCCGAGGGAATGGTTGTCGATATGATCAATGCTGGTGTCGGTACAGATTATGGTACAGCAACGCAATATTATGAAGCGGAAGATTTGTTACAGCACGAACTAACAGAGGTAAATGTTTTTTTCCTTGCCTCTACTTGTTAAAAGCTAAATCTTTGTTCTTTTTGTGCAGGAGGATCGTAGATTGGCAGCAGCTCTAGTTGCAGTACAATTGCAGCAACAACAGAAACAGCAGCAACTTCATAGTCAATCACAACACGAGGATCCCACTTTGCCAGATGTTTCTCAATTGGAAACATTGACTCCTGTTAATACGTATTCCATTCAAACAGTACCAGAGCCAAGTGCTCCACCGGTATATCCGACTTTGCAACCTTTCAAACGAGTTCCTCATAATGTCAAGCAGGAATTCATAAATGTGAAGAGCGAGTACGAGATTGACGTGTCGGCGGATAGTAGCGAGGATGCGGCGCCGAGTTCCGGACCGAAGAGGTCCTTGCCGCACAAAAAGAGGATTCCCCGTAAATTGAAACAACAAACGAAGCGTAGCTCTGCCAGGAAGGATACCAGCAAGTTGAATTTAGACGTTGCTAAGACGGAACCGTCTGGAGACATGCAAGTTCCCATGTTCAAATGTGAACTGTGCAGCTCTAGATTTAGTAGTCAATTAACATTTTTTGAGCATCTTAAGGTATTTCGGATTCTACAATGGTTTATCAAGTTATCAGAGCTGTGATGTTATTCGTAACGTTCGTTCGTCTTTAAGGTGCATTACGAACCTGTGAAGCAGGAAGCAAGAATAGCGCAAGCAACAAATACTAACATCACGATATCTGTACAAGAGTCGGTCCAAAGTCTTGAAAACACTGTGATCGAAGAATTCAGTGAACCTGAAGATCTCATGGAGGGCATCAGAGGTGTTGGTAAGCGTACGGTGTGCTCTGAATAACATCAACAATTTTTCTACTTCGATTAACATTGCTTCCAATGTTTTTAGTGGAAGAGACTGGTGCACACATAGACGATGACACGGAATCTCCGTTGTCTACTGTAAACAATGCATCGCCACTGTGGACTATCACCGATGTCACGGAGCATGTACATAGGGACCATGTGAAACCGTCAACAGTTAACGAGCAGGACTTGCATGAAAAAGAAAAGACTGATATTCCGCCGACAACAAAGAAAAAAAAAGTTTACAAAGCACGGAAAGCAAGTGTGTATAACCACGTACGAAGATTTCTTCTTGTGAACAGCGTGTTTTAAAACAGTCCTTTATTTCCATAGATGACGAGGTAACATGCCCGCAATGCGACCGGTCATTCCATCATAAAAATAGTTTAGTGTATCATATGCGTTCACACAGCGGGGAACGGCCGCATCAGTGCGAAGTCTGTGGGAAAAGTTTCTTCGCTGCCAGTGCATTAAAGGTAATGCAAATATTGTTATGATTATATTGAACTCTACACTAATGAAATACAGTGACCTCTTGATATATTGCCGTGGCTGTAAAAGAGTAAAATTCTCCTGGGAAGGCGAATTTATGGGCTTGGAAAATGGCGAAGGAGAAATGCCGTTGAGCACTTGATATTGGGAATTCCTGAAATTTATGCCAAATTAATGTTCGATTTAAACTTTATTTCAGTACTTAAAATAAATTTACCAAGTGAGAGGTCTTTCCCTTACATTACTTTTTCCCCTAGCGGAAGCGGAGTTTGCTCGTCAGTGTACGTGTGAAGGGTGTGTTTCCCGCGGCAATATGCCAAACGGCAGTATATCAAGTGTCCACTGTGGTTCCAATTATAAATTTTTCGATTTTCTGGTTCAATGGATCCAACCGCCGTAGGATTTTGAGGTTAACTGAGCTGTTTTCGGTGCGCAGGTACACAAACGTCTTCACAGCGGCGACAAGCCGTACAAATGCGAGGAATGTGGTCGGCATTTCCGTCAATGGGGCGACTTGAAATATCATTCGACGAGCATTCATTCCGAGCAAAAGCAGTATCAATGCGAATATTGCGGCAAAGACTTCGCTAGGAAATATTCCCTGATCGTTCACAGAAGGATCCATACTGGCGAGAAGAATTACCGGTGCGAGTATTGCAACAAGACTTTTCGGGCGAGTAGCTACTTGCAGAATCATCGTCGTATACACACCGGCGAGAAACCGCATGCGTGCACAGTTTGTGGGAAACCGTTCAGAGTACGAAGCGACATGAAACGACACATGCACACGCATTCGAGGGGAAGGAACGAAAGGCCTTTGACCAGAGTGATGTCGGGCAAGACCGTAAACTCCATGGAGGAGGAGGCTGACAAGGGATCGCAGGCAAAAACGATACATGATCTGGTCAGAGATTTGAAGTTGGAAGTGGAGGCGACAGGTGTCGTGGAGATTATCCCACCGGATGATAATCCTGAGAGCATTCTGCCCCATGCAGGAGGACCGACTCTAGAGTACACAGTAACAACTACGCCTGATGCAAATCCAGACCGAGATCCATTGGAAGCGGTTGTACGTACTGCTGACAACATGTAAGTTAATTTCATTAAATTTCCCTTAATTTACTAGTAACTACTGTAGGGAGTTATTTTCTTGAATTATTGATTTGCAGGCCGTATTTTTTCATGTAACGACTATTGGGTGTGTAACCGAAGAACTTGTACTATAACCACTGAGCAGCAATTGAAATTAGAATGTCTGGTTTATAAACAGGAAGCTTTCTGACATATGGCGAAACTTCATTGTAAATGATCAGTCGACTTGCTATGCATCGATACACTGCCCTATGTAATATGCATAGTGTACTTTCCAGTTTCTCTGTGGTATACTTTTTAAGGGAGCGCGTTCACGACGCATAACACTGGTTAAATAATATTCGTAAGACTGTTCTTAGCAGGAAACTCGGGAAAGTACAAAGCTGAAAGGAAATCCTAAAAACATATATCAATTTAATTGCGTAACGATATACATATATATGAATATGCATATATATATATACATATTGTACTATAATTAACACTAATCAAGGAAACATTGTACATTTTTAAGTCTAGGTAAGTTAGCCGTTTATATATCGCGAATGGTCGTTGAAAAATATATTTTTTACGTGAAGACATTTATAGAAATACTGTGTGGTCCATTTTTATTGCATTCTCCAGAATAAATGTCTACAGCTCAGTCTTAGGTGATCGAAGGGGTGGAAGATGGTGCGGGCACCGTACTATTTGTATTAATGAAAGCTTGTAGAAGCTGAGCTAATTCTCGCGTTTCGAGCGCTGCGCTAAGTTTCTCAGCAGCATCTTTGCTAGTGAGTCTGAAACGCATGGGATTGTACATAAAAAGTTATTGTGGTGCAATTTATTATTCAATATTTTCAAACTTCTTCCCGAATGACTTTTTCAAATGGACTTTAATTTTTAATATACGTGCAACTACGATAATGAGTAAAGATTTTATTGTTAATAGAATAATTAAGGAAATAATGTACCAATTATTTTCATGATATTGCGTTAAACATTATGTTCCTGATCTTTTCGTTATAATTTATAGCTTGATAGAATAAATGGTCAATATTTGAAAAAAGAACTAATGGCAAATGAAGAATTCAATGTTTAACCTAAATTTCTAAAGATAAAAGAAGAAACAGACGAAAAGTAAAATTGGCATGCAAAATTTTGTTAATTGTACTATATTATCAATACACGTCATATTATTTATACCATTACCTGCGGGCTCGTTTTGCTCTCTCCCAATCAACATAGAGATCGGTAATAACTGCATGCAGCCTGTCTAAAATTGCATTATCCTTCGTCATTTGCGATTTGATTTCCGTTTCCGTTTGCAGCAACTCTTGGTACTCCGAGCACAGTGTTTCTTTTGGATTCTCCTTCAATTCCCATTCCTCGAGTACATTTAAAATTTTCACCTTCGTAATCAACTCATGGGCAGCATTTAATCGCGGCAAAACCAATTCCAATACCCTGGATATGCTGGCATCTGAAGTATCTATAAAAATATTTATAGTGTAATTTGTATACACGAATTGTTCTATTAACTGTACACTCAGCCTTAGGACACAAATGTAAATGTAATCTATACTTCTGCAGAAGAACGTCATACCAGAAAACACATCTAGCTTGATTTTCCTTTTCGTTGCCTCCCTGGTCAAAATGTCTCTTAGAATTAAAATGCTGGATATATTTTCACCCAGGAAAACAGCGTTTCCTTTCCTGAAAATTGCTAAAATGTACAACACAGAGCGACAAGGTGCAATCATGGACTTACTTGTACGTGCATTTCAGGGTTGTACCCACAAAAGATGAGACGTATGTTAAAACTGCTTCACCGTCTTTCAAGTGAGGCCTTTCAGGAATGTTAGGTAATACCAAAGAGAGCCAAGCATGCATCTGAAATATGTGAAACATGATTATTGAAAGATAACGTTGAAATAATATTTATGAATGTACCTCAGCAACGGTGAAGCTTCCAATCACTTTCAATTCGTTGAAAGGTCCACAAACAGACTCTGTGCTGTCATCTTCATATTGTCTTACGTGAAGGGAAAGGGCACTTATGGGTATGGATATTCTACGACAGCACTTTGGCTGTACCTATATTGGAAAGTATTTATAAATTCTATATTTTTCATGTTACATGTACAAAAGAAAACGTACCTGTGAAGTCACATAGATTTGCAAAGTACCTGGCTGCCCTTCTATAGTTCTTAATCTCATTTCAAGGTGATTAATGTTTACCTGTTCGAATAACGACCAATTTAAATGACAAACTTGTTCAATTAACGATCACTCCCCATTCATTTTTACTTACTTGACAACGGTACGTGGCAAGTACAAAATTACCTTCCTTCGGATTACATGCAGAAAGGCTCACAACTGCACTATTGCTTTCAACATCCAACAACGCTATTGGTGTATCTGATTGTATCAAAATATTATCAATTGGAGTATCGAGTTCTATGGAAAGTGAATACGATGCATCCTCCTTGTTCAAAACCATTCTGAAAGTGATTGATTTACATTTCGTTGCACTCCTAAAAATCACCCGTAATTACCTGTGATTCACCGACAAAATTAAAGGTGCTAAAGGATCAACGGTAAAGTTAGCTGTTTCCTTTTCTTCATTCAGCTTTTCCTGCAGCTGCTGGATCTCTGCTTTCAGTTTCGCTATGCCCTCGTTTTGATCAGATTCTAGAAGTCCAGGTGGTCTGGTGGTCAAGCCAAATATTCGTCCTGAATAGGTTGTAACCAGAACCTCAGGGTATCCTGCGGCTCCAATTACTCCGCCTGCCACTGAGCTGATGCTTTCACTGGCATTCTAAAAAGATACAAGTTGTTTAATGTCTCTTTCAAATTTCTATCCAATCCTATAAAATACCAATATCCATCTTATCAGTGTGTAACAAATAACCTAAAAGGGTTGACTTTTAATTATACTGTACCTACATGACGAAAACGAAGGGATGGTAATGTGTCTTCATCGGGGAAAGTATATACTTCAACAGTACCATCCTGCCGACCAATTAGTATATCCATGCCATCTTGTAATTCATACGTGTCCAGAGAAGTGACTTCAGAGCCTGTCATGTTCAACAGCCAGGTGATCCTTAGAGTCTTATTACCCTGAAGAATGAGTAACCCTATTCTGCCATCCATGGTTCCAAGTAGAACACGATCTTTGGACTCAACATCCCCTTCCCTGCAAAAGAGGAGAATATTGTTGGTAACAATACCAGGTATAAGGTAATTAATAACAAGGTACCTGTACAAGGCGAGTACAGTAGGCACACTTGGAAGTCTCAGAACTGCTGGAGTCTTAGTGCCATACAGGACACGTATCTGGAAGAAGTGAAGTTCATTCAGTCAATTTAGTTCTTTCAACGTCACACGTTTCAACACTCACAGCACAGTCTCCGCAAGCAAGAAGTGCATAAATGGTGGAACTATCAGCAGGCAAAAGGAGAACATCGTACAAGGTTTCGCCAGCCAGGTAAGAGTCAGCATCCTTGCAGTCTTGGTATCTGTGATAAAGATCCCTGGCACAGGCTGCAAGGTTTGGACCAAGCACATACCTAGAAAGAATTATTACTATTAATATTCTATACATTTTACAGGGGAACTTGTTGGTACTTGTATATGATTATAAAATAATATCTGACATTGCTGAGACAGGATCTATGAGGTTCGTATCAAAATCTAAGAACAGCTTTCCCTTTTTTGTGTATCCCCTCACGGTATTGTCAAGGGCAATGAAAATCTTGTCCCGTGCTGTACCTCCTAAAGCCAGTTTAGTGATCTTGGGTCCAGGCAGAGATTTGAATGACATCTGTAGCTCACCTTTCTTCATACCTGTATCAATAGTTTTATATATTGAAACAGTTTCAAAGGGTAGATTACAGAAAACTTACCATATACATGTAATACTCCATCATGATCACCGACAGCAAATTTCTGAGTTTGCCTGTGCTCTGTTGCAGAGAATATCTTTGTCGTGCCTCTAGAAGTGACACCCACAGCTACATAGTCTATTCTTGATAATGGTAGAGTCATTTTGAACAACAATTATGAATTAGTGAACATTTAGGTTCTATTCTCGAATTTCAAAATAGTAAATTAGGAAATGGTTCGTGTGTGGTCAAAGAAGGATGATGAACCATTGTCCAACAAATAGTGGATTGTTTCTATTGTACAGTGATTTCGGCGCACATGCGCGACGATCAATTTAACTATAGCAACAACTAGCACAACAAACTATTTTTCATGTATGGACTGATTTTTGAATAAATGTGTAGATTACTTCACGTGAAAAATAACAGGTACTTAAAAAAACATAAAAAAGTGTTAACCCAAGAATAGAGACATGAACATGACTACATCTCTGAAGAAATGAAGAAATGTATATATGTATACAATAAAGAAATTAGACTTCTTTTAAATCAAATTATATACATACATGTTCAACGGATCTTTTATTTAAATGAACTGTTTATATAAACTTTTGAGTATTCTCATGGTTTTTATACAATACATTACAATTATTGGTCGAGGCTAGGGTTGGCAGTGTAAGTGTATTTTCAAACTTATTTTTTTTTCAGTAAACTATATCAAGCATAAAAAGTTATCTAAATTAGTTGTACATTACTCTGTATATAATACTTAGAAAAGTATATTTTAAAACAATTTCTGAATTTGTAATTATTTACGATACAAATGATCACTGCAGACAGTCTACAACTTCGTCCGCTTTAAAAGTACTAGAACGTTGTAGTAAAAGAGGGAAACGTTGAATTACACATAGTTTTATTATAAAAAATAATACAACGAATTCTCCCTTCTCAATCATCTCCTTGGCTATATCATTATAATTCAGATATAACTGAGATGTACACTTATTTACCTTCTCGTTTCATTTGGCCTAAAGTCATTGCAAGAAACAGAACAGCAAGGGGGTTAGTATTGGTCCTTTTATTAGCGCCGGTTGAATTAAATATTAACACTTCTACGAATTAGTCCCTAACTGGTAATCTCGTGCTTTCAGAAAGAAGTACACATTGACTTTAACAATCTTTTATTTTGCTCCTTCTATATATACCCGTGTCCATTGGACACAACTAACCGAAGAATAAAAAATATACTCTGATCTAAGGGGTTGCTCTTACATATTTATATCTAGATACTGGCAGGAAATTGAAAAAAAAAAAATAAAAAAGAAACGTCTGTCTATGATTAAACCATTCGATCCTAAAGGAGGATGCTACCAGAGTGCTTGTTAAGCTAAACACATTCCCAAAATGTAATAATTAATTTGAATTCCTCAGTACTTTTGAAGGGACAAGAGGCTTCTACAAAAACAAACCCTTTCCAACAACCTTTATGCTACTGGCCTGTCAAAATCAACTCAGAAAGTTTAGACTTATACAACACAATCATTCAGTCGAACTCATTGTCCCCTTCGAGTCTCAAGAAAATTAGCAGATTGGAGTAACATCAGCTCCTGGATTCGCATGAGTCAGGAGGAAAATATACAAAAAAAAAAAAAAAAGAAATCTCATTGATCCCAGACAATTCAGCTAATTAGTAGGGACGACAATAATCGCGAGACAAACGTGTACGTTTAACGTGGTACGAGTTGGCAACCCTAGGCTCGACGATACGCTTAATAGCCCTGGAAGGTGCCGGTCGGCCGAGGAACGTCGAAACGGGGATTCCCGTCGTAGGAGACCTGCGCGCTGAAACCGTGCTTCCAGTCGGCCGTGTAACGGACGATCTGCAGTCTACCGTCCGGAAGCTGTACTCTGTACTCTCCACGCACAATATCGCCATCGCTGATGGCGTTGTGGGAGTAATCGTTGCCGAACGCGTCCTCCTTCACCGCGTAGTTGAAGTCGAACGGCATTCCAATGATGGTCATGCTGAAATGAATTTTTTACATCAATGAAACGAATCCATTCTGTTAACAGTCCAGGTTTCTAAGGAGATCAGCTCGGTAATTGGAACTGCATAGTTGGGATCCAGTTAATATTGTAACCTAGGTTGCATTGTACCTAGTTTAGTTAGTTTAGGTTAGAACGTGATCTCCTGGGAGAGGGGAATTTCGGTACTCCCCTCCAAGGCACAGCTTTGACTTTGGCGTCGTTACCTATCACATAGTCCCGCAATTAGGACTACCGTGGGCGTAACCCGGGGAGGATATTTCCCCCAACTTTCCAACCGTCCCAATTTTTCAAGGCCCGGGCCACATGGAGGTGGAGAAGTACTGCACTGTACCTGACCTATATTTAGTATCAATGTATATAACTGAACTCTGGTTTTGTGAATATAATTAGTAGTAAAGGAATAATCTTAAAAAGTCTCGACATGGAAATATTTATGTTTGTAATCCTTATGTACTATGCGCCACTATAGTGACTTCCATTTAGGGGATGCTTTAGGATGAAACACCACTATGGCTCTTTTCTCTTTCCTATTTGTCTACTATGTGGAAACAAACAAATATCCTCCTGTTATAATAACGACCAATAATAATTACAATAGGGTTGCCATACAACAGTAGCAGTTTTTGGTAAACTCCACAATAGCTAAAAAGTCGATAAGAAAATAAAATAAATAGTATTTTAACAGTATCTTAATTGAAAATGTGGAAGTGTTAATCTGTTTGTAGTAGAATTCACACTTACTCCACCAGGAGTGGGTCCAGTTGGTGTCCCATAGTCTGGGAACTCAGGGGTGGGCCTGGGACCTGGTGGCGGGTATCCTGTACCAGGGGTTGGTCTCGGTGATGGGAATTTCGTGGTGGGCTTGGGATTATAAGGACGCGTTGTTCTGGATGGGTAAGGCGTCGTCGACGAGAACGGTGGCCGTGTGGTCGTCGGTTTTGGGAATGGTATCCCAGGCGTGTCGTAGTTGTAACCCTTTGTCGGTTCAGGTGGCAGGTACGTGTTGCGTCTGGTCCCTGGTGGCAGGTCGGAAATCACGTGAACCACTGCCATGCAGAGTATTGTGATCTGTAATTGAATATTTAATTAGAATTAAGCCTTATTTCAGTGATTTATTTCACAGCATATCATTTTGATGACAGTCATGTACAGTGTGGTCCGTTTATCTCTGACATCTAAAATACTATGCTCTCTAATATTGTGTACAAAACTTAGGTGTTATGTTACAAAGAAATGTAGATGACCTTGAAAGAAATAACCTTGTGAAAGGTGTTCTATCAATCATAGTATACACCCTTCTGGATCAAATAATTTCATCAAAGACAATTTACCCTACTCCTAAAAGCACCAGAAATATTTTGAGTGCAAGAGATAGGTGGACCATTCTGCATAAGTGTCTTTATACATAAAATATTAATTAATGACTTTTTTCTGGTTAAAGTACAAAATGTAGAAAGTGAACAAAGTTTACTCTTTTTACTGAATTACTGCATAATGGATATACATATTATTCTTTATGTTGGCACTGTTATACATAAAACCTATAATAAAACCACCCCAAAATTTTCAATCCTTTGAACCACTTTCTGTCTAGGTACTATAATCTATCCTTTTCGGAAAAAACATTATTTCTCAACCTGATTTCAGACATGGCATACTGTGTTCATTTTAACTTCAATCACAATACATAAGAATTGAAAATTTCAGTGTGGTTTTATAGTTATCCCACGCAATGTATACATGATATATCTATACCCCCTTAGTTTTATCAATCTCTACATGAGCCACTAATTTTCCAAAGTGATTAACTCCACAAAATGTACATTTAAAATATATTTTAAATATCAAAAGTTAAGCACCAATCAAATGCTTTGGCGGTATAATTAGAAAAAATTTTACTCAATTTTAACTATATCTATATAACAAAAATAGAAAAAAAAAAAGGGTCGACTAAACGGTTCAACAATTCTGGCAATCGAGAAAGTGAAACAGTGAAACAGTCTCTTTGAGATGACCGGTCAGAGACAGGATCCTGTTTCCTCAGAGATACGTCCTCCCACTCGTTGCCCTCCTACTCCCGTTTACACAACCGCCATTGAGTTATACCACCGCGGGTACATAATCGGTTAACGCGCAACTTTTAATGACAGCCGCGTTTCCTCCCGCGCTAAACAAAACGCGTGTCAGCTGCGTGTAATCGCGATGAGAATGTAATGAACTGTTGGCACGTTGCAATTAGTACCGGATTCAGTGACGTGTCCACCATGGACAGATGGATGATGGGATCTTTAGGGGTGGGGATTGGACTCGACGCGTTTTCTTCAATTAGTAAACCGAGAGGATCCGTTGCACAAGTTTCGTCCTATTAGAACGGCTGTCATAAACAGTAGTAACTATTCACTTATCAGGACTGGGATCACAAGCAATTCCAACATGACGGCTTGATTGCCGAGCGATGGAGTTATAATAGAAGGATTTTTAGGGTTATGGCGGTCATAACATCTGGAGTCTATTTACATATTTATTATTGGATTGATAAATGACGGGGGAATTTCGACATCGAATATACACTTTTTACTCGAAGAGAATTTATTCAATTATCTGTGTGTACTTTCCATCATGCACTGTGCAATATATCACCTCTAACAATATGGGGTGACAGTAATAGAAAGATGCCACTTTGAGAATTCCTGTTACAGACTCCTCTTGATTATCGTCCGGACAATAATCGTATAGGGAGAAATGCTTCAGACCCTCGTAAATTCGTTTTTTGCCCGAGCCTCCGCAATGAAATCGGAAAGGCAACAAAATATGCGCGTGACAGGTTCCACGCCTCCCCCCCCCCTCCTCAGTGGTGGGGATAACGCCTGGACAATAATCGAGAGGAATCTGTACTTATGAATTAAGCAATGACATGAAACTATCTAAGTCACTTTTGAAGGGATTGGGGGCTAGCTTGCATTCAGACCAAACATGGCTGTAAAAAGTTCCACTCTTTATACATGATTATAATTTGCAAACAATGTCAAGTGCAGTGAACTCTTATAGACACTTTCTTTATTTTGTTTTGTCCTGCATCTAGCAACAGTGACCAAACTTTTTTTCAATACAAGGTGATCCAGAAGTCACGCAACTGATATAGTAAATTATTTAAAATAACTGCTTGTTGGGTTGACCTGTAGTATACACGACCCACATGGTGAGTCATCCGTCAAACCTGACACATTACACGACTCATACGCAGGGTCACCTGTCTTCATGGTGTTTTAGGGTCTACCTGAGGTGTGTAGAATTATATGTACTTTCTTTCTGAATCACACAGGAAATAATTAAAATGAATTCCTGGAGCTACACAGCGTGCCACATAATACAAATTATTCCAACAATCTTCGAGAAATGAATTATCTGCACTCGGAAAGTGCTGAAAGGAAACGAACGCCGCTCAGACAGGAGAGATAATTGCGTGGAGTTTTTCGCTCTGCGTACGTGTCGCCTATTTACTGTAGTTTCGCAACGTCTTAATTACCGGTCTTCCGCCTCATTTCTACCCCACACCGACACTGGGTGACTCTCAAACTCATGTGAAACTCAATTTTCACTTTCGTACCTCGCCCGAATAGGAAATGTATAACTATTGCAGAAATTGGAATCCAAGAAATTGCAATTGACTGCATACCTTCTGACGTCTATTTTCGTACATTCAGTTTATATACACTTGTTCTATTATCCAAACCCTCGCCTCTTAAATATTCTCTAGTAAATAGTGGGTGTACAGTTACGACCCGAATTTAGCAATAGGAAAGTTAATTATTTCAGGAAGGATACACTTCAGAGCTAATTGTATATTCTTGCGACGAAGTCCTAATGAGTATCTACCCAAGCTAATTAAAATGCAACTTGGTTTTCCTGGATTTCCCCATATATGTTGTTGCATTACAAATTAAAAAGAGGGCAGATTATTGGGGATAGAATTTAGGTATAGAAGTACGATGCGATTGACTGAATGTTCCCTTGGAAAGGCGCCAAAACGCCGCGGAACGGAAGAGGAAAAATGGGAATCTTGCGAAATAATTCACAATCGCGGAATGTTAAGCAGCCTCGTCGCTCATTTAAATTTTACTAACTGCAGAAAAATCCCCCATTGTCTGAGCATGGTGATTGTTTAACGTTCATTGCCACAGCCAAAGTGATGCAAGTCCTTTTTTACTTCTCGGACCAAGGACACTGCAGTTTCCATGTGAATTACATCACATTGGGAAGAAGTGCGATTGGAAGCAAAAAAAAAAAAAAAAAATTGACCAAAGATAACAAGAAATTTCGAATTCATTAACATTCATTATTCACTTCCCTTCCTTTATTGCAATCACTTCCTCTAATGTTCTTATTATTCTAGAGACTCCCTTGTCCGAACACCCATTAGCCGATTGCCTTAATATTCAAACGTTCTACTATCGAATATTCTACTATCCGAACCTTCTGTGATTCAAACCTTCCACTATCAGTACATTCTAATATCCAAACCCTCCGATACCCGAACCTTCCAATATCCGAACCTTCGAATATCCGAACCTTCGAATATCCGAACCTTCGAATATCCGAACCTTCCAATATCCGAACCTTCGAATATCCGAACCTTCCAATATCCGAACCTTCGAATATCTGAATCTTCCAATATCCGAACCTTCGAATATCTGATCGTTCCGTTATCCAAATCTTCTATTATCTGAACGTTCCATTATCCGAACAGAGTATTTCCAAGCAACAGGTGCCTTCTCCTGTTGCAAGTATGTAGTGTATACATTCTTCTATTCGATTGAGCTTCACGCAGTTACTTGTGTTGAAACATTTCTTCATAAATGTTTAAAAAAAATTGTATATAGAATAAATAAATGAAGTTCAATATCGGAAAATTGATCGTTTTATTATCCGAACACTTATGGCCTTCTGTTTGTTCGGATAAGGGAGGCTCTACTGTGTGCGGAGTAATATCCTGTCACGGTGATAATCAGCAGAATCGATAAAAGTATTCAGGTAGATATATTACACACCCCGGGCGTTCTTCAAGAGAGAACGGTTCACAAGAAATGTTCATCCTGCCGTTGACACAATTGCTAGCGATAAATCCGTCATGTTTTATTTCAAACGTTTATGATCCTGTTGCATGAAGTGATGATATAACATTTTCAGATGGATTGGACTTTCGGGAACATGCAACGGAGATCCTCACAGGAGCTTGAGTCAACGAAAATGATTGCGTAGAATCTCGAAATTTTAGAAAATCTTCCGAAGGAGTTTCGAGCACTCCCATTAGTTCGGATATGGGAGGTTCTATTGTACACATTTAACTGTACAGTACAATGTACTTAATCTTCATTCAAATAAATACAAATTTAGTGTCAGAAAAGTGATCGTTCTATTATCCGAACGCTTATATCCTCCGTATTAGTTCGGATACGGGAGGTTCTACTATAGAAATTTGTAAATGTAGTTAATACATTTTAACAATTTTTCTCTCGATAAATTCAGATCATTTATACCATTCGATTTATACGATTGAAACGGGTATCAAAAGTTCCAGCGAAGACATAATCACCCAAGGCGACTGGCAAACGCATGGATATCGATAAATCAATTACTAGCCGCGTGTGATTCATCTATTCGCCGATTAATCGTGGAATACGCGCGTTGCCTTGGTATACCCGCGATAATTTGTTGACACCTCTCCCCCCGTACGGACACGTGAATCGAGATTTATGCGTCACGAGGCACGCCGGTTGGGAGGCGGTAATTAATTATAATAATTAGACGGGCGGAGAGGGAACGTCGAATGACACGAGGAGTATCTTGGATGCAATTTCTCGTGGCAAAGTTCATGCTTTTTCCGGGAGCAAACTCGTTCCCTGATAGACTCTGTACTAGGACTGTCACAAATATTCGAATAATTCGAATAATACGAGTAATTGGAATACTCGAATATTCGAATACTCAAAATAAAAAATACTCGAATATTCGAATAGTCGAAATAAAAAATACTTGAATATACTCGAATATTTGAATAGTCGAAATAAAAAATACTTGAATATACTCGAATATTTGAATAGTCGAAATAAAAAATACTTGAATATACTCGAATATTCGAAATAAAAAATACTTGAATATACTCGAATATTCAAATAGCCGTAGAATTCGAATTTGATATTCGAAATATTCGGATTGTCCGAAGTATTTGAAATATTCGGATTGTGCGAAGTATTTGAAATATTCGGATTGTTCGAAATAAATCTAAATCTTTCCATGTCTTGGAAAACAAATTTTTTCTTTTCTTTTTTGAATTTTACCGAAAAATAGAATTATATGACTAGACTATTACTGCATCTACTAAAACACTTCTCTGACGGCATCCCATAAGATTGTACGAGATAATTAATCAACGATTTTCAATCACATACCTGAAGGTAAAACATATCGTTGATTACGACGACTTAGCACCCAGTCCTTACGGAAAATTAACTCGCGAACCGGTTTTTTTTTCCCGGAAAGTGCACTGTGGGAAACAGAAAATCAACCCTTTATAAGAGCTGAACAGTGTGAAACGTCGAAGAAATAAGAATTTCATGGTGGGAATCGATATTTTCCAGCTATTGTTTCTCGAGGCATGATTTACGAAAAGGTGGAGAAAAAGAGAGAAAGAGAAATAGATACAATTACGGTTCCCAAGAGAGCTCCGTAAATTATCGTAATTTGATTTAATGTGTGCTTTTACGACACACAAAGGGTTGAATAGACCTCGACGACATTTCACGGCTAACCACACCCTGGTTACGATTGTTTCGTAGCATTGCATGCATACACAACACCGCTCCCTTGTTCGAGGGAATCACGGAACTTCATCGTTGCTCGACGTTTCTCAAAGTGCACACACATCTTCTGCGATACTATCGATTGGAATCGAAGTTACTAAATTTCGCAATGTTTTCGCGTGTATAATCTAATCATTCTTGCCGCTCAGGGCTACAGTGACACATATTGGTCCCTATAATTCCGAAATAAAAATAAAAATTGTAAAAATTTATATGCAATTTCGGTTTACATATTGTGTCTTTACTGTTTTTACTTTCATCATACTCAGTGATAAGTTTTTCTTAGTTTTTAAATAAACAAAATGAAATAAAAAAAATTATTATTTATTTTTGTTTATTTAAATATAGTTTAGTATGTAGTTTTGTCATATGAAGATAACAGTCATTCGTGAAGAAATTTGTGAGTCACCGAACAGTAAATCCTCGATGAGTGTTTCGAACGCTCCTCGGCACTGAACATTAAATATTTCATAAACTAATTGACTATATGCGATTGAAATAAATATAATTGGCTTCTGAATTCCAAGCTGTATCACTGTGCTAAACCTCATTAAAAAGTCAGCTTTACACCTGAAGAGTTCTCCTTTCGGTTCGAGCCTTCGTACACTCATCGAGGATTCACTGGCTGCAGCCAGTACAGGCGAGACCTAAGACTCTTTAACTAGTTCATATCTTCTTTCCATTCTTGAACACTCCTGTTATTTATTTAAATATTCTATACGTTTGTATATCTAGATAGAACCTCCCGTATCCGAACACGTTAGCATTAGAAGGTTCTACTATCCGAACACTAATTCTTTTACTTTTAGATTCTACTATTCATACATTGTTATTCCTTAACTAGGAAGATGAAAATTTACAAAAATCTTCTTGCAGAAAACTAGTACTACCCACGTAAAAACCTAACGAAATAACTAATCTTCGACGATCTATTGAATAAAACTAAAATATTCACATAATTCCTCAGACCCCACCCTACCAGTTAAGGGTTAATTAAAATTTTTTTTTTCGAAATTTATACCGTTCCAAATACCACAATGTTATCCATATAGATCATTCCAACAGAGAAGTGTCCCTGTAAAGAACCTCAACAACTTCGACTAGAATCCTCCGACAAAATCCAAATCCCCAAACGATCACAGAAGACGTGTGTGTACCAACATGTTTCACCAACAAAATGTCACTCGATGAAAATAAAAAAAAAAAGAATATAAAAATAAAAAAACATGTGGTCCAATGTTGCACCGTGTCACCAATTTGGTAGGGCGGTAGGTTAGCTCGTCGAAGTGTCGTCGCGTAAATCAAATAGGGCCCAAAAACGACCCTTACGTCCAGTACACGGATTATACGGTTCGGGTTGTGACGCACGTGTGTCCCGTCGGGTTACAATATCGTTGCACTCCGGCACGGCTGTGAATAAAGTCAGTACGTAACTGCTCGGCATGCTGGCAGGTTGGGTTTATATAGCGTGGCTCTAATAAGATGATACTTGAACAGGCCGTTGGGACCTGGGGGGCCTGATGAGGAAGATGGGGTGGGGAGGATGCGCGTCGCCTTGTTTCGTCTTTTACCTTGCCTCACCTTGCCTTAGAACCTTGCTAAGAATGACCTGTACGCGGCCCCTTGCGCGTCGAATTGAACCTGAGATTTCTCTCCAGAGGGCTAATTCTTCTGAGGACTTAGGGTTTTTGGGTTTCCTCTAACAAGGGAACCTTGGTACCCCGAGAATTCTGATTCTTTTTTAAACCACGTAGGTTTATAGGGGGCCTTGGTACAAGTATTGTGCAATTTTTCGTTTTTGGTGATATTAGGTCCTTTAGGGTAAAACCACCCCTTAAAGGTTAATGTGTATTTTCTTATATATCTTGAAAACTATGGTAGATATTGGAAAACTGTTAGAATAAAAATTTAATGACCTCTTGTGCTCTATAAAAGTATGTAATGAAAGTGTTAAAAATTTGTTTTTTTTTTTAAATAAATAAATAAATAAGTAAACAATTTTTTAACAATTTCATTACACACTTTTAAAGAGTTTAAGACATTACTGAATTTTCATTTTAACAGTTTTTTTTATATCTTCTATAGTTTTCAAGATATACAGGCAAATAGGAGAAGACATATTAACTATATTTAGAGGGCGGTTTCACCTTGAAAAACCGAGTGTCAAAAACGAAGAATTGCCCGTTGCTTCTATTGACGTCCACTAATAAATAGTGGAGTTTAAAAAAAAATCGAAATTTTAGTAAGTAACTCTGATCAACTGTGTTGTTTATCTGTCGAGAGTAATACGTCGAAACCAACCCCATTCAGGAGTACAGACATGTCTACCAATTGAAACGATTAACGTTTCATAGACAAACAACAGCTTCGAATGCGTTCGAACCTTTCCAATTCACGTCTTCGACACCAGGAACATCTTTAATACGTGAAGGAATCTCTAGCCAATACGCTATTGCAAGTAATTCCAATGATCCTCTGGAATTCGCTTATTAAGAATTTCAGTATTGCTTTCCCATCACAGCTGAATAGTCGTCACTTCATCGAACACGGAAACATCATCCAGAAAACAGTGGAGAAACAGTTAAAGAAGGGGAACGTCACGCGGCAACTATGCCGTTTCCCATAAACGAGCAATCTGTGGAAGCCAGGAATAGAAATCGTGGTGGCTGTAGCAATTTCCGATGTTAATAATTTCATGCCCTCCGTGGAAAAAGTTTCACGTGCATCAAGTTGCAATCCTATGGATATACTATATGTATATATGACAAATCGCTTGGCATATTTCGTTGCATCGTGGGAAGGCCTAATCCGGATCAATGCGATCCAAATGATCTTTCGAGCCGGAGCGCTGACTTCTTAGCCTCGAGGGTGCAGCATGAAGAAGTCATTCCATCGATTATCGTGTTACGTATCAGAAAGAATTTGATATTTCATAGGTGTTCTCGAACCATCGCTCGTTGTTGACGCTGTCTTATGATAGAGTCTCGTGACGCCTTTCGGCGATATTCCCCTTCTAGCCAGAGGTTGCACCAACCCTTTGTTTCTTATAGTAGAAATAAATTATTTTATACACGTTGGACGAAACGGGAATTGATAGTTTGGAAAGTCATTTGAACGAAAAATTGGATCAGGTACTGAACGTATATAAAAGAGGGAAATATTGGGTGTACCCAACAAGTAGTTAGGTATTTCTTGTGACACTCTGTATATTCGTTTTGAAATAATTCAAGTATCTATCCTATGTTAACAACATTTGGTATTTATTTCAACCAGCCTCCGCAATTTTTTACTAAACAGACGATTGGAAAAATATTCTTAACCTGAAATGTATTGGTACCATATTGGAACTATAATGGTACTTTAACTAGGCGAACTATAGTGATAATATTACTTATTAATACACATAACAATATGAGCCATGAGCTATCGTGGGGTTGCAGAGAATATAAAAATACCAATTTTTTTCAAATTACTTCATCAGACTGGATATTATGTTATCGGCTGGTGTTGAAACTCTGTATATGATGAGGAAAACTAAGTGAAGAGATCTTCATAAAATGAGACTAGAAGATCTGCCTAAAAGATGATATAAGATTATGAGGAACAAAAGACAATTACTAAAAAAAATTCAGGTAATATACATATAAAACAATGTACAGCTTCCTTTACTTCATAGTTACCACAATGCCTCTTCTCCGTCGACATGAATTCATTCATTTTAATAAGAGACTCATTTTAATAACACCAATTTACACCTAATTTTTGCATAACGAATTTCGTCTCACGCTACATATAACCTTATTTTATTTTTCCCAAGTGCTGTACCATATTGGAACTATAGTTGTACTTTAACTAGTGAAACTATAATCATACTTTTACTAGTTGAACTCTAGTGGTACTTTAACTAGTGAAACTATAATCATACTTGTACTAGTTGAACTCTAGTGGTACTTTAACTAGTGGAACTATAGTGAAATTGAAGTGGTGTTTTAACTATTGCACCCATAATAGTACTTTATCTAGTGAACTATAGCATTACTTTGACTAGTGGAACTATAGTGGTACTTTAATTACTGGAATTATAATAGTACTTTAACTAGTAAAACTAATGGAACTATAGTGGAACTAGAATGGTACTTTAACTAGTGGAACTAAAACGGTATGGTTGAATACACCTCATCCATTAAAATTTTCTCCTAAAGAGACTCCTTACAACTTTCAGAGATTATTCCAGGTGACTTTCCATACAACGAGGTACACTTCGTGGATTGTCCTTTTTAGGTTACGTTGTACTCCGTATACTCGATCAACAGCCAGTTCTGTCGCAATCAGAGGGGATTTACACCAAAAACGATAGATCGCTGGCAAGACGAGCATCGATCTTTTTGCAAAACCATTGTGGCGCATCTGCGGCTCGCATATCTTCGGGTAGGCAAGCGGAGAAAGGCACGCGCGGGTACGCACGCTCGGAATTGCTTGGCGAGCAATCCGCCTTTTGCCCAGCCTTATACCGTGCATCCAGCAAGACCGAGCAAGACCAGGTCAGGGCAGAGCACTTCGATCGTTACTTCAACCCTTTCACGGCCGAGGAGATGCTTCTCTAT